TGGGGAAAACAGCCCCACGTCATCACTCAGTTTGAGCAAAGCTGATGGGGTGCTTGAGATACCCAAGAGCTGAGGGGCTCAGCCGAGGAAGAGCTGCCAGCATCATTTGGGATGAATGAGTGTGTGAGAGGGATCTGGCCAGCGGTCATGGGACAGAGTGACAGAAGGGTCACTCTGTCTGGAGAGTGGAATCTTGGGAGCCCAGGTGGCAGAAGTGAGCCAAGACTGGGGAACACCACAAGGAAAGCAAAAAGGGGAAGAATTAAGAGTATCAGGGATGGATTCTTCTGGAAAGAACTGTCATAGCTGCCTGCTGTTGAGAGAAGGAATGACTGACATGAGCAGCTGGAAGGGGACAAGTTCACCTCATGCATATAAAATTCACATCTGCTCAGAACAGTAATTCTGATGACCTTATGTAACTTTTTCAGATCTTTACATCTCTCCGGATTTGGGCTTCTGGGCACGCGGGGTGGGGTGGGAGGAGGATTTCTATTTTACTTTGCATTTGCTGTATGGCAGTATCAAAAATAGAGGCACCCATGGTCTACAAGTCACCTTGACATTATGCTAAGTGCTTGTCAGATGTGCACTCTTACAGTAACATGTAAGTAGTATATGGAATGCTAGTCTATTAACTTCCTTCTAAATGCAAGCAGAAGTCAGACACTTAAATGCGTTCAGTAGAGTCTGGCCTGTGAATGGTGTTCTTGGGGTATTTTAGGAAAGGATCATTTTCATATTACCAGCATGGAAGAAATTAAAATTAAAGTACAACTGACAGTGGACAAAACAAACAAACAAACAAAAAACAAACAAAAACGACACTGTCATTGCTATAGAGGTAGCTTTGAGGGAGACTATTGTAGTTATTTATCCTGTGATAAAAATACACAGAAAAAGCATCTTAAGGAAGGGAGAGTTTCTTTTGGCTCAAAGTTCAAGGGGACACAGTCCAACATGGTGGAAGTCATGGCAATAGGAGTGTGAGGCAGCTGGTCTTCCACAGTCAGAAGACAAGAGCTGAATGCTGGCGCTCAGCTCCTTTCCTCCTTTTTATTCAGCCTGGGATCTCAGACTATACAATGGTGCCATCCACATTTAGAGTGACTCTTTGGCTACCTCAGTCAACTCAACTTAGACATGCTCAGAGGCTTGTCTATTAGGTGACCCTAGGGCCTACCAAGTTGACAATACTAAACATCACGAAGACAAAAACATGTCTTTAAATAGAAGGCACTAAACATAGAATAGACTAATGCTCAGATTAGGAAACTTCTAAATTTCCTTTCCAGTCCTGCAGTCTAGGAGCATACATGTGTGCTCTAACATAATATTCTAGCAGAAGCCAGTATTTTAAAATGCAAGGTGCAGTTTTTTTTTTTTTTTTTTTAAATCGTGCTTCCAACAGAGATACAGAACTAAACTAGACTCTGAAAGATCTCATAAATACAGGGATGAGGGGGAGAACAGGACAACACATGGTCTACAGTACCACCTGTCATCCCTCTTGGGTTCTTTGATTCTAACATTCTCATCATGTGCAATGGGCAAATCTTTCCTCCAATTCAATGCAAAGATCCACACTGAAGGTCAAGCTTTATACCCCACATAAACTTTCCCAGACCACATTCAGTCCATGCTGCCCTTTCTCTGTCATCTTATATTCCTATGGTGTCCTTAGTCTATAACCTAGCATTTACTTACATATTATTTGATAACCCTTCTCTAATTCATTTATGCAAACATTATACTCCTATTCTCACACAGCTGAGCCTACCCGGAGGGTCTGGAATGGGATGGTCTAGGTAGATACGGCCCAAGTGTCAGAAGAAATCCAAATTCCCTTCCAATCTAATTAAGAAAAAAAAAATCATTGTTTCAATGGCATCCAGTGAGAGAGAGGGAGTAGAAGAGAAGTGAAAGAGGTCACCGTAAAAGTGTCCCCATCAGCCTTGGAGGCTGACATTCCCCCTGCAGAGCACCCAGAGGGACCGTCACGTCCCCCCTCCCCCCCCCGTGGCTCACCTCACATTCTGAATTCACACTCCTGCCTACTACTGTCACTGTGCCCTTTGCACAGTTCCAATTTGTCCTAAAGCAACTGTGACATTTTAGTGGTGGGTGAGACTACTCCTCTGTAGAGGGTGTCTCATTTGAGAATGCAGTTTTTGGAAGAAAGACACTATTTAATAAGAAGAACACTATTCTTTTGACAGCCCCACAGGACTGGGAAAATGAGTTAGAAACAGCAAAGTCAAGTCCAACCCTGGAACCAATCCTTGGGAGGCATGGAAGTACAGCATCCTTCACTGGGATCAATTCATTCCACATTTTCAATATGAATATAACATTTTTTTTAATAACAGAGAAGAAAGTAAAATAAGGAGTAAGATTTCTGAAAAAAGATTATTCTTTTAAAAAAGCAATTATCTATTTTTTAGATAGCATTTCTTTGTTTCCTTAACTTGCAACAATTCTCTTGAATAACCTACCCAAATATTGGGATACAGGCATGACTCGAATGACTAACTCTTGGGAAGAGATTCCTTTAATATGACTTCTGGGATAACACCCTTGAGCAGAAAGGTTTTAGGATTTTTCTGTTTCTTTTTTGAGACAAAGTTTCTCTGTGTAGCCTTGGCTGTCCTAGAACTCTCTATATACCGGACTGGCTTCGAACTCACAGAGATCTGTCTGCCTCTGCATCCTGAGTGCTGGGGTTAAAGGCATGCACTACCACCACCCAGTAAGTTTTAGAATCTTAGGTAACCAGTGTAGGTGAAGAACTTTCTAGTAATGAGCCAAAGTTCTATATAGCACAGGTAACAACTTTACACACACATACAAACACACACATGCATGCAGGCATGCATGCACACCAGCATAATACACACACACACACACACACACACACACACAGAGTTGGGGAGGGAGATATACAGATGTAGATAGATATATCAGAAAATAATGGAATAACTTCCATCATGTTTAACAGCTAAAAGTACTAGAGATCAGAGCATATAGACTCACTCTGGTGTCAACATTCAAGTTTACTCAACTAGAAATTACTCCTAAGTAGAAAATATACACAAGAGAAAGAAGCCCCAGGCTTGCCCATGAGTTTGGACCTGTCCTCTGAGGCTGTCTAGCATTGTGCTGGCTATGGGGAAGAAAGGCCATAAGGTTCCCTTTCCTTTGGAGTCCCCCTTATGGGACACCCAGACTTCTGAAATAACACCATTTATTTCCTATCATGGATGCTGCCTCTCTCAAATATGTCACTTTAGATATGTAATCACTTCAGAATGAAGCAATCTAGAAAATGCTCCCAAGGAACTTGGAGTGGGGAGCAGAATTGCTGATGTTTCCTGAAAAGCCAGCCCAGCCTGACAATGTCAACTATTCGGGGCTTTCTAGTTTAAATGTAGGAGCAGAAGTTAAGATCTTCCCTCCTGGAAGCATAAATGAATATCCCAACCCTGCCACTCTGTAAGGTGTTTCCAGAAATGGTGACAGTTTATACAAATCCAAAGTAAAATTATAGTCCAGGAGGTGAGACTGAACATTTGCCTGGGTCTCACTTGGGGATAAGTGACTTTGGTTTCTTCCCATCTGAGTCTCAGTCACAGGACATGGGAGGCTGTGGGGAGAATGACATCCTCTCAATTCTGGCAGAATGTATGTATTCTCATATGGCTGAGCTAACGATGATGCTATCCTGTCCAGTGTGGGTCTGTCAAGGGGGTATCTTGTGCTGAGCAGAGGAAGCAGGAAGCAAGTTTACCTTCAGACCACATCATCTGAGGAATTGGAGAGGAAACCTGAACAATTTATCCATCTTTAACTACCAAACAAACCCCAAAACATGGTAGCATATGGGCTTCGAGTGAGGACAACTTATACCCTCAAACCTGTATAGGATGTACCTATACAGGTGACAGCTTTGATTGGATAAGCAAAACTAGCCTGAGTTCCTGATGACACAACATTCTCCAAAGAGGCAAACATCACACCACTGTGAGTTCTCATGTCCCCTGTTCTCAAGTTACTCTGTCTTGTTAACTGAAGACTTAGATAAGTCTGAATTTAAAAGTTTAAGCTAATACAAATTAACTAATAAAAATGTATGTGTGTGTCTGTAGATAGAAGACAGATGACAGACAGACAGACAGACAGACAGACAGACAGGCATCATCAAAGATAAGAAGCCAGGTTCTGACAGCACCACTCATCTTATTTTGAGACAGGATCTTACTATGACTCTCAGGCTGGCCTTAAACTCACCACTCTCCTGCCTCAGCTTCCTAAGTGCTAGATTTACAGGTATATCCCACCACCCAGCTCAGCACTATTTTCAAATCATATAAACAAGCCTAATGATGTCTTTAACAAATAGAGAAAAAGGATAATTTAAAGATATATATTTTCCTATAACACAACAGACCAATACGAGAAAAAGTTAATTTATTGTTCTCGAATTATATTATCTTTATTTATTGCCTATTGTTTTAGATTGACTGTGTTTCTTTAGGGCCTTCGAATATGATCTTATTTGGAAATAGGGGTATTTCTGCTGAACTTAGTGAAGGTTAATGGAGACACCACCATACTGATATCCTTACAAACAGGAAATGAGTGTGTGCACGTGTGCACGCGCGCACACACACACACAGAGGAAGGGCACTGTGGGGGAAAGGCACAAGTTGGGGTGATGTATTTACACACCTCGGGCAGTCAAGATTTCTGGTAAGCATCAAGAGCTTGAACAGAGGCCCAGGGCAAACTCTCCCTCACTGCCAACAAAAGGTATAAAACCTCTTAACACCTAGGGTTTGGACTTTGATTGACTAAGATAGGGACAATTTGTTGTTGAGGTCTTGTGTGCTATGCAGCCCTAGCCATACTCGAGGAGAAAGAAAGAAACACTATCATGACTGACTTATCCTAGAGGCCAATTACAGGACAGACGTATGCCAGGAGGCAGTGCTGCTTCTTACTGTCAGTTCCTGGGGAGCAGAGTTTGGCTTCTGGATGTTGATCTCAATGCTGTTGTTGCCTTGCTTCACTTGCACAGGAGAGCCATGCACGGTGGCCACACCTTCAAACATCTGGGCCACCGTGGGCCCTTTTTTTTCCTTTTCTTCCTCATCTTCATGGACCATTTCTCCATTCATGCTGATTTTCCCATCCACCTGTTAAGGCCAGGATGAACAAGAAAACATGCTATTCTGCAACCAAAGACGATAATCAAACACACATTTTGAACTGCCTTAAAGAATTCTCTGTGTTTTCCCCTATCTTAAAAAGGAATCCGGCCTAGCTAGCGTTTTCATGGGTTCTAGAAGCCAGTCTTCCGTCAATGTCATCTGAAGGGTGTCTCTTTGTAGCTGGCAGTCACGTCACAACTGGATGACACTTGATTTATGGTGTGCTTTCATTTGAAAGTATCGAAAAATCATGGAATCTTAAACACATGCCACACAATTAGGTTTCAGTAATTTTCAATTTAACTTGTGATGGCAATTCCACAAATCACTTTTTTTTTTCTGGTTAGCCTATCAATGAAGTGGGACCCAATCAAGAACATTTTGCAGGTTATTTTGTAGCGGAAAGACTGGAGATGGGGTGTTTTTATTTTGTAAAGCTGTCATGGAGGGCAAGGATTCTGTTACATTATAATAAATCTCATTTTCTATTTGATTTTCTTGTGAAGAAAAAAAGTCCATGCTCACTAAAATGTGTTTGTTTTACACTCCATATTTAGAACAGGCAGCAAGAGTGAGCAGGAAAGGAGGGGCTCTCTGGCCCATGGAGACCTTCCTGATGTTTGAGGCTGACTATCTGTGGTGAGATGACCTACGATCCAATTCTGACTCTACCCTTCAGCAGCTGTGCAATCTCCAGCATTTCTGACTCTATGTGTAAAAATGCAGATTTTGATATAACTTGACCTTCCCCATAGTGTTGCTGTGGGGTTAAATGACTAAGGTGTACTTGGGACTTGGAGCAACATCTCCCACGACCCTGGCTATTCTTAGTAGGTCTTCTAAGATCTTCTTAATGAAACAACAGAAGGTTGGACATTAACTGTGGTTCATTTACCTTGTGCTACTGGCCATCATGTTCTATTACTTGTCACCTCTAGGAAATTTATAACACAACTCAGCACACATGCATGAATATGGAGGAGACAGATAAATGGCATGATAATCTTTATTGAGTGTGGTCCCTGTGGCTCTTTCTATTGTACCTTTGTCTGCTTCATTTTGTAAAATGATTCTAAACCATTAATTTAACAATAATTGAACAACAAGGTTGTTTTTGAAAACCAGTGCTTGGAATGCATCACTCCATCTTCCCTTATTCTTTTTTTATTCTTCTAAAAATATGCTACAGATTATTTATTTATCTTGCTGTTGTGGGCACATGAACACACACATGTCCATATGCACATGTTCCTAAGCTGCCACACCTCTCTACTCTAGTAACATCTGTCCTATTTATATGTTTGACAGCAACTGTTCAATCATTTTTGAGAAAGTGTCTTGTTGTGGGCACATACTCCCACCCCCTACACATAGTGAAGGAGAGACAGGCTACCAAACAAAGATGACAACATTTTCTCAGAGCCTAACTTCTGTCATAAATTCTTCTATCTTAACCATTATGTGGTCATGTTGTACCATTTACATACATGAAGGGAAGTGGACATCTAAATGTTATCAGATGCCTTGATATCCAGTTATATAAATGTGTTCCCGCCTGTGCTCTGGGCCACCTCAATGTAATGCTTTCATGGAATGTTACACCATTCATCTTCCTGACCCCAGGTGAAGGAGGGTATTCAAATACTTGACCACTGAGGACATTGCTAGGCATGCATGTACACATGTGCGTGTGTGTGTGTGTGTGTGTGTGTGTGTGTGTGTGTGTGTGCGCACATGCATGTGTGCATGTGTTTGTTCTGTAAATAAGTCTTCAGCTTCTGTGGCTAATCTCAGGAAGAATTAAGTTATTTACTTTTGCTGAATGTCTACCATGTCCTGGGTATCTATGCCAGGCTCTTAGGATGGAGCCATGGGAAATGAATTCAATCTGGATGAAATGGCCACACAATCGCCTTTATTATGCTAGAAAAACTTAAGACAGATTTTAATGATATATTTAGATAGTCAGAAGGTAGGCTTGGGGTCTCTCTAAGTCCAGTAATGGAGGACCCCTGCACTCAATCTCAGCTGAGCTATGTGAACCGCCCCAGCCTTAATGGCAATAACTCCTAGTGATGATTTCCACTCTCAACATTTATTAGGAAACCCATGTAGTGTGCAAGAACCACATGAACTGGTTTTTCTCTGGAGTCAAAGGAGCTCCAGATACAGGATGAATGCTACCCCATAATGTAGACAGACACTGGGATATGAGCAAGTGAAAATACCTTTGGTTCCCAAAGAGTCTTTCATTCTCAAAAATGATTTTATACACCTTTTAATATTTCAGCCATTTTCTGCTCAAGAAAAGCTTTGTCCTATCTGATGATGAACACACCCCATGCTGTCATGTGTTCCATGTACTATTTTTTCTCAAGTGCAGCAACTCTTTGGATATAGTGTTAATTTCTTCCTTAAGATGCAGCTGTGTATTTTTCTATTTAAACTAAAAGCAAATACACTTTGCATTTTCTGTGCATGCAGATAACTACAGATGTGGATTATTGCCATATGAGGACTTGCTTACACTGCTCTAAGAGAAACCACATCATCAATAAACCAGGACATAGGTCTTGCTTATGGAGAAACCTTGTCAATCACAGTGAGTCCAGTCCAAAAAGAGTAAGGACAGTACTGGGAAGAATGCCCATCCCTACAGTATCTTCAAACCCAATCTCCTAAACTATAAATGTACTATTGCCAGTGTTACATGTGTTTGGCTTTTGTTTGATAAAAATTATTGCATTTTTCTCGAGTCAGTAGGCTTCTTTCCACAAACTACCCGGAATTCAGTTTCCATTTTCCTCTCAAAGAATTCATCCTACCTTAAAAGTCTTCAGAGCCTCTTGAGAGTTTTTGGGCTGGGAGTAAGGCTTGGGTGTCAGCATAGGCACTGCATTGGGAGTGATAGGTTTGCTTGGAGGTCCACTGCCGCCTGCTGCGCTGGTCTCTGGGGCACTGGTGCGAGCAATGGTGGTTTCAACTGTGGCAGTGAATTTGGGTGGAGGCAGTGATTGCTGCCTCAAGTACCTCATGGGGCTGGGGTCACTAGGGAAGGATGATAAGTTTGGCTCTGTTGAATGGCTTCTTTCCAGAATTTTTGGCATCTCCAAGCGTTCGAGCACAGCCTCACTGATGGTGAACCTCTCAATGTACTGTTGGAGGATCCCCTCTGCCTCCTCCTGCGACCGTGCGTTCTTATAGGCCTCGTGCAGCTCCCTCTCTCTCCGCTCTCTGCAGGGTGGGGCAAGGGAAGAAGAGCAATAAGCAGCCAGGAACAGTGCAAAGATTCCCACCAAGGCAGAGTAAAACCAAACTATAAACAGTAGCACTGCAGGTTTTGTGATAGCAAAAGATAGCAAAGAAAAAGCATAGCTAGGTACTATTATACCCTAACAACAGAAAGACCCACTTTTCTTGAACAATCTCTCTATAAGTTTTGATGCTTTTCCTTCGTTCACTTGTCCCGTCTTCTCCAGACATCAGCTTCTCCATTTTCTTCCTTTCTTCCTCTTTCTTGATTAAGTCCTGAGAAGCACTTCTTCTACGGCTCTTCCAACGAGCCAGGTCCTGGGGGGGGGGGTAGAGAGAGAGAGATACCATGTTCTTTCTCAGCCTTCACAGAATTCCCTTTCTGTGACTCACAGATCTGCAAGCACTGAGAGATGCTATGCTGGGACACTTCCACACAATCCCATGAAGGTCTGGTTGGAACAAGGATGTCTGGGAGGCAGGGAAAGAAAGTGCATGCTATCATTATCATGGCAGCCACTTATTAAAACACTGAGGTGTGACATATGCAATTATTCAATGTTGCTTGGCAAATTTGAGAGAACTTTCTTACAAGGTAATAATCACAGAAAACTCCATCCTTCTCTATTCTCACCTCTGCACTGGAAATAGATACAGAATGGTTAGGAATAGATACAGAATGGTTAGGATTTATGTATAGTTTTCTCCTGGACGAGAGAAAAACGTGGCTTTGGAGCTGTTTTACAGATATGTGTGGATTCCTTTCCTCCTCAGGTGAGGCCAAGACCTGTCCTACAGGTAGTTATAGCACAATGGTGACACTTCTGGGTCAGAGGGACAAACTGGAGCTTTGGGAATCAGCCTGGCTCCATCTTGCTCACACACTGTCTGTTTCCTAGCTTCTCTGAACGCATTTTTATTTTCTCTAAAATGTGTGTGGCTGTTCCAACTCTGCTTACAAGTCTTGGGGTTCAATGTGACAACACACTTAGGCACTAGACACATAGACATACTGTCATTACACTGTGCCAACTTTGGAGAAATTAGCGCTTTGGAGTCAGCTTTGCAATAGTGACCTGTGCTCTGTGAGAAACAAATAAAAGGATTCTCTGTCTCTGCTGAGCCCAGGCTCTCCCTGCTGTAGCTCTCTGCTCTCAACACACTCCCTCTAAGCTCTCATGGGCCTTCCTTTTCCCTACTCACTAGCTATGGAACTTTAGGCAGTGACTTAGCTGGGCTGGGATTGCTTACATCTGTGGGTGCTGGAAGCTAACCATTGTTAGCACACTGGGTTACTAAATGGGCTGGATGAATTACCCAGAGCCAAAGCATCTAGAACAGTGCCTGCTACTGGTACAATCAACGCTGATCTGGGCAGTCATCATAGTCCCCCACCAGTCTTAAATACGGATTATTAAAAGGCAGCACACCACAGCTCTGTGCTTATCCTAGTTGCCCGCCTCCCACCCTTTCTCTTTGTGACCAAGCTTTGGTCCAGAGTACCTGCTGATACACACCAGTGTCAGTTTCTCCTCTCTCTACGTTCCTACAGACCCCTCCTTTAATCTTCTTAGGTCAGGTCTCTGTAATGCTTAGGGCGGCCCTCCCTAGCAGGGCTTTGAAGTCCAAGTCTACCCTCCCTGCCCGGTGGTCGGCTGAGTCCCTCCCCAACTGCCCGCGGCCTTGGCCCGAACTCACATCTTGCCATTTGTCGTCCTCTTCCCTCAGCTGGTTATTTATCAGCTGCAGCTGCTCCTGGCGGGCCCTGCTGTGCGGCAGCACCGCTGCCTCCTCCTCACACCGCATGTCAAACATACTCGTGCTCCTGATGCGGAGAGAGCAAAAACAAAAAGCAGGCAGAATGAGCGCGGGCGGCGGGCTCCTGTCACCACTGCACGTCGCCGCCTGGGGGCGCTACTGGGCTGAGAACTGCCTCTTCACTCTGCAGCGGGAAGCAGCCACCAGTAGCACAGCCCAGAGGGGATGTCTTTGTCCTCATTGATAGCCCTGTTTGGGGCAGCTTTTTAGAAAGGTGCCAAAAAGGGGCTAGGAGAAAGCACCTGAAGGTGGACACTCTCATTTAAAGGTATATAATTTAAGGAGACGAGCACATTCCATGGCAGGGGAACTTAGCTACACTTCATGGTGATAAGAGAGGGCTTGCCTGCTCTACATGCCCAAAGATCATTTCTTCACTTTCAAAAAAAAAAAAAAAAAAAAAAAAAAAAAAAAAGCGACACCCCCTGCTGCACATTTAAATTGATGCTGGGTGTGTTGTGTTTGTTTCTTTTTCTTTTCTATACAATTATGTAATTGATAGTACATCTTGGAATCAAGAAAATGAGGCATTTTGTAATAGGAGGGATAATTATATAAATCAGGGTACACTTTGTACCTTAATGTGTTCACAATCGTTTTGGTTTAGTTTTGTCAGGATTTCTAAAACTTTACTTTTGAAATGAAAGGGAGAGGGCAGGCAATGAGGATGAGCAAACCTTTTGGCTGTGCGTGCCATTGATACATTCTGTAGGAGCTGACAAAGACCACAGAGCTCTCAACAGACCAGATAAGAGCAAGCACTGAAGCAGCAGGGAACACAGGAGACCAAAGCAAAAGCCTCCTCCCCATCCCGACCCCTTAGAGAAACCATAGGGCCTGAGGATCACAGGGTTTGCCTACACAAGAAGTAATGGAGAAACCTTCCAAGTCCCCTAGGGGTAGAAGATGGTGGTCATCCATTTTTGAAGGCAGCTTAACAAGGAACGACAACAGCAAAAAAGCCATGCGCTTGGCAACTAACTTATTCCAGACACCATCAGTGCAAATGGCAGCAGCCCTATATGAGTTTGCATGGATGGCTGGGTTCCTCGCCCCCTTTCTCCAGGTGCTGGACATTTAAAATCAAATCTGAGACCTAGAAGCTTGAAGACTATCTTCCTCCAGAGTGTTCTAAGAATCCAAATGCCGATTTAGTTTTGAATCTTAGGTTTCTGTTAGTACAAGTGTGTGTGTGTGTGTGTGTGTGTGTGTGTGTGTGTGTGTAAGCACAGTGGGAAGCTGCTGTGGTCTTCTCTGTTGACAGTGCTGGTTTCCAAAGCTGTGCCTCATAGAAAAATAAACTCAAAGGGGAAAGGGGCTGTATGATTTTTTAAAATCTATTTTATACTTATAATTAAGAAAGGTTTGGAAATTTACAGTGTTAAGTAGAAAAGTCTAACCCCCCTTTTAATATAAAAATTCACCTAAGTAGGACTTCTAGAAATAGATGAAAACTCATATACCTTTCTAGTTAAAAGTGGGGGTGTGTGAGAATTTTACCTTTAAAATAGTCAATCCAGCCAGTTATTTTTAAGGCAAATTACAATTTCTACTAGGGCCTTGTATGTATAACTGTCTCTGTATATCTTACACACCAAGCAGTCAACAGAGGGGAGGAGAGAAGGCCATTGTGCTGCCAGTGAGTTCTAAGGGCAGAATTCTGGGTTGGTCATAATAGGTAGCTACTCAGTCGCTTCCTCAAGGTGGGAAGGAAGTAGCTGGCTTCTCCAAGGTGTGTGATTCAGCCCGCTCACTAGCTGTTCATGGAGGGATGAGAGGCCTTCACAGCTGCCTTTCACAGCCTTGAGGATCTGACTTACCCCAGCCCAAACATGGCCAAAGGCCAGACAATTAAGTGGAACTCTTGTGACCCTCTCCTAGAGCAGGAAGTACTACCCCCTCCACCTCAGGGTTTTTGTGTTTTAAAAAAAAGAAATACCAACAACTTGGCCAAACAGCAAAACTGTGACATTTTTGTCATAGTGCTCCCAAGATGCAGACTCCTCTGGCAGAGGCATGTGGAGAGGAATGACAAGCTGAGGAAAGTGAAAATTGTGAAAATTAAACTTAGAGACATTCTTAACAGGCCAGAAGGTGGAGATTTTGCTATCTAGGTTGACCTTGACTTACATTTAAGACGAATTTTTTTTTTTTTAAAGACTGGGCTTTATCTTAAGAATGTGTCAGTTATAATTGTAAGTGTACTTTATGTCAGTAATTGCCTTTAAAGAGTTTGGAAAAGGGAGAGGGGGAAAGAAGTAAGAACAGTGCACATCTCTATTTTAAAAATTAACTCTTAGCACCACCTTTGATTTTGTTCCCCAAGTGACTTCATGTCACTCATTAATTTGGCACTTTGTGTGTTCTCAAATTAAACCTCTGCACAAAAAAGTCCTTTGACCGCTTCTTGGTCCACAGGGACAGTTGATAAGGGAGCCTGAGCCCAATCCCTTTAAGCAGTCACTAACTTTCTGTGGCTGAGGTTTCAGAGGCAAGTGTGGGGAAGATCTAAACTCTTTTGAATATAGCTTTCTTCCCTGCTTACCCCAAGATCTACTTTGGGCAAATTGCATCACGGCTTTTGCTCAGTTAAGAATAAAGCCATTCTTTCACAATGTTGCTGTTCACCAGGTCAGAGTATTGTTTTACCTGTCAATCTCACATCCTTCTCCTGTCAGGGATGTTAAATATTGCCACTGCAGGATCCAAGAGTAATAACCAGGCCTTGGTTTTTCAGACTGCTTAACTCTGTGCAGTCAGTCAAGCACAGGCTGAATTTCATTTTTGAGGCATGGAGGTTGTCTCCCAGATAACTAAATGGTTCTAGATTGCCCATCAGAACTTGGGGACGGAATATGAATGCTTAGGGCTAAGAGTCTAAACTAGGCTGATGTCATCAACACAAACATGGGAAAGCATGATGAGAAAACATTGCTTAAGCGCCTCCTCTGCTTAAATACCATTACTGTGTCATTGGTAGGAATGACACCCTGGGTTCTACACCCCTATTTAAACTTCTCTCTGTGACGTGGACCTTGGCTCAGCATTCACCCTTTTGTAATGGTCTCGTTTCTGTCGGGCCACACAATGCTTTTGTGTGATGGATGCTGGAATGAAATATTAAATCCTGTTCCTTCTAAGACCAAATACTCAGACCTGGGAAGGATATCCTTCTGAAAAGCCCTTCTACCTTATATATTTTGTGCAGAGTGACCTCTGCATAGGAAAACCAGTTTGGGGACAGAGTTTTTAAGGCCATAGATAAGTTAGTTAAGGTTTTTCTCAAACTGGGATGTGAGGTGCTGAGTGGGAAAGAGACCTCTGTTTGGGAAGAAAAGCCAGCCAAGTGGCAGGCAAAGGAACCCAGGTCCTGTTTTATACCCTTGACCCCTTGCCATGCTATGGAACTTGAACAAAACCCCAATGTTTGGGTCTTAAGTATCCCACAGTTTATGTGACTCCAACCTGGTAGGAACTGGGGCTTTGGAATCTATAATTAGTGGTTAGGATTTATTTCCTTAGTTTGGAAAAAAAAATGTGACTGTAGGAATGACTACTTCATTGTTTATGCTAAGCCTCAGCACATAAGGAGTTAAACTGCAAAACCCATCATACCCCTTCCCTGATTCCAGTAGTTTTATGACTTCCTAATTCAGAAAGGGTACCAATGTCCATATCGTAAGAGCGACTTGAGCATGTCCAGCTATGAAAAACAAGAAGCAAAGCTGAAGCATTGGTTAAACATCAGCATCATGCTTAAGTTGCTTTCACACTCAGCAACTACACACTCCCCACTCCCCACCCCCGCCCTGGCACTGCATAGAACCCATTCTGCTTTGTGGCCCCATGTGCTCTGGTGTGGACTGGGCTCACTATGCAGTTCACTGTGGCATCGGTGCATGCCAGTTAGTGGTAAGTACTGGAAGCATGCACTTTAGGCTAGTGATTAATGTAATCCTATGAACGTGATGCCACTTACTCTGCGTCATCTGACACAGGAGTTCTCGAACCGTATCTACAAGATCAAAAAAGAAAGAAAGAAAGAAAAAGAAATTAGAGGAGTGGCAGAGGGTGGATGATGACACGGACCAACCTGGAAAAAAAAAAAAAAAAGGTGGGAAGAACGGAGCCATGTTAATATAACAAAGCCTTTTTTTGCTGGTCATGCTGAAAGAGAAATGTCATTACACAATTAGCAATCTGCATGAGCCACTGAAACAGTAAAGCCTTGACATTTCCAAAAGCCCATGCTAAAATCCGGAAATCAAGTCATCCCATGCTGCCCACAAAGAAAAACTCTGTCCAATGTAAACATGGAGAGGCTTAGGTGAACCCATGGTGTTCAGGAAAGGCAGCTTAAAACACAAGCACAATATGTTTGGTTGTTCGAAAACAGTTCGACTGCTCGTGCCTCTGTGTTGGTTGTAATGGACTGTAATGGGCATGCAACATGCACACACCCTCACTCTGCTGACCTGATGTGTTAATGCATCTGCACAGACAACATCAAAGACTAATTCTACCGTTCCTGAGAGTGAAGCAGAACTTCAGCCAGAACCCCAATCAGTGCCTTTCCATCTGTATTTGACAAAAACCACAATTCCTAGAAAACGGATAGTCTTAATCAAAACCAGACTGAGGCTATCCCACAACTGGAAAGACCAAAGGTTTTCCAAGCATATTCTAGTCTTCTGATAATTTGGGTTTATAAAGCTGTAACGCCTGTGGTATGTTAGGTTTAAGTATATCTGCATAGGGGAAAGGATTTGAAGAAGAGAATATGGCTATATGGAAGCACACATTGGCATCAACAGCTCCATGAGCCAGCCTTCAGCAAGGGTGAGAGTTTAAAGGCATTGTCCTTTCCTGTCCCCAAACGGCTACTATTCACTTGGGCATTTTGAATGTAGATAAAGAATTGTTGCTGTAAAGAAAATCTATCCTGCTTCAAGCTTCCCAGAAACCACACCTCAGAACTTTCAGCAAAACATTACTTGTTCCAATTTCTGAAGGTTTCATTTTATGATTTTAGAGAAATTACCACACAATGTGCACACACTCCTTCCTTCACCTTTCATCATTCTAGAACATTCTAATTCATTGATAATTATTATTTTATTCACAGGGAAGGCAATCCATATGTGGGTAAACTCCCAGATTTCTGTTGGAATGGCCACAAGCAAGCCAAGGAAAGGGCCATGAGGGGCCTTCCCACAAGGTCTTAGATCAAGTCTCAGTGTACCCCAAATGCCACATCTGTGAAGCAAATGGTGAGGGATTCCTCCCACCAGCCTGAGCAGCATCAATCCAGAAGCCTGGATACCTTGTTTTTAGTTAACAATAATTTTAAAAAGTCTGTTAGAATACACATATTCAATGTGGGGCTTGCTAAACCATCTTTGAAAGAGATGTTATTCCTGAGGGATGATTAATGGGGAAATAAATGGCTAGCAGTTGGGTGGTTTCATGTCACTATTTGGATATCTAACTAGTGTTTGATTGAAGTACAACATAATTCAGACAGTGAACTTGTGCACACGCAGTCTCACCCTAGCTAACATTTCTACAGTGTTAGCTCCAGGAAATATCTGAATTTCAATTGTTTCTTCATAGAACAATTAACAGCATTCATGGACATCTCTGCAGATAAACAGATCCCTACAAAATTCAAAGTCTCACTGGGTAAGAAGGTGCCTGACGCTCTTCCTTCAGCAGTGGCCAGAGCAGGCCCTTGATGCCCATTTTAACACTGGAAGGAATAGCACAGGCCCTGAAGACTGCCTTCATTTTTATCCCCTTTCTATGTGCTAAGAAATTCCCTCTGACCAATTTCTGGGTGTAAAAAGGGCACAAATACAAGTAAAGCTGCCTTTGCCAGCAAAAGGGAGATATCTAGCGCTTGAGCTTCATGAGGCTTTTCCAGTTATCAAACAGCTCCCTTCCCCTCTCTCATAGGAGGACCCTTAAATGCAAAGTGGGCTGTGGGGTACAGAACCGACAACTGTGAGAGACTTGGGATGAGCAACCTACCAGAAGAGTCAAGTTTTAACCAAGTTCCACCTGAGGTCAGGGCTATCTGGAAGGGTAACAGAAACAAGCCATATACTAACTGACTATGTTCGTACAACTCCAGGCACTCACAAAGCATCTCGGAATCCACCAGTGCCCAGTGTGAGATCCCTGTACTCCAAGCTAATTTGAAGTGAGAGTTGACCATGGCTTTACCACTCACCCAGGACGAGCACTCAGCCTTGTGTTTTGCACAGTCATCACTCAGTAAACTTTTGTTAAAGGGAAATGCAAATTCATATTTTCTCAATCAAACCAAGAAGCATGTCATGGGCTAGGAGATGGCTGAGTAGGTAAAGGGGCTTGCCACCAAGCTTGGTAGCCTAAGGTTTTTTGTTTTTGTTTTTAAATGACTCACATGGTGGAAGGAAAGATCCAACTCCTCCTACAGGTTGTTCTTTGACCTCTACTGGCACATGGGCATTCCTCCCTCCCCCACCTCATTCTCATTCTCATACAAACATACCCCCCCTTTTTAAAAAGATGTCATAAAGTTAATGGCTCTCTCCACTCATACTAACTATTCATCCTAATATGAATTAGTGGCAGACAGAAGCGGTAGGAACTCACCAGGCTTCTCTGACTCCTCCTGTGATTTGTGTAGGCAATGCCTTGAAGGGAAAAGTGCTTTTCTACTAGGGGCTAAGTTTAAATCTTAGTGCTCTGATTCTAGGCTGTGTCCTAAAGTTTGGTTTCCCATCTGCAACAGAAATCTGTACTCTCAATGTTCGTACCAGGAATGCGCCCCGCTTCCAGCCTGCAGGCCCTTCCCCATCTTTCTTCTCATTCTAGTTTGCTCTACAGCAGCCCATGGACCCAGCATAAAGCATCAGGTTGTGACATCAGGAAGGTGAGTGACAATGGAGGACAATGGATCACTCAGTCCCTTTGTCCTTAACCAGACTCAACCTGGGTACCACGTGGGACCCAATCACTTTTCTCACTGTCATGTTTCTCATTTGTAATTTTTCCAGAGGTGAGCTAGAGAGGGAGCAGACACACACTGAAGAGGATGCAACCTGTTCCACAGCTATGGTCGAAAGCACAGCTATTGCACCTGCTCTCTGGACATCATCATCATAAGATTCTACTACTGTTATTATCCACAAGGATAGAAACCTTGGGTCAAATTCAGCTTATAATGATGACTAGGATACTTACTTTTTAGAATTTCGATTCTTGCTGGTCCCCACTGTGCCCTTGACCCAGTGCTATCAAGGGCTTTTGAGAAGCAGAATGCCAATAACTTGTTTTCTACTGAGCTTAAGAGATAGGCAAAGCACTTCTTTCTCCTCTCATTGTCCAACATTGGCTAGGTATACCACACTTGAACACGCATACCATACACACACACACACACACACACACACACACACACACACACACACACATACAACAGCGGCTTCCACACATAGGACCTTGAACTCCAGGATCTTAAATCAAGTCACAAAGTAGAAATCCTGCCACCAGATGGCAGTGAGGTTGGCTAATGTTGAAAACAATGCCGATTTTATAAATGTTATCTTCCTTGACCTGAAATCTATAAAATCAAGTAGGTTAAAGAGAAGTCTGAGCCTTTTATCAAAGGGTCCTCCACAGGCCAGGAGGAAACAAGAGTTTTTCACTTATCGGCCCACAAGATGAAGATCAGAAAGAACGGTTAGTGAGTAAACTCATTATTCAACTACTCTTCATTCCCGTTTACATGCAAAAGAAGAAACACCCTGGATCAACTGGGCCAATGTCAATCATTCCATTGCTTCTAGCATGAGCAAGTGAGTGGCTTTGAAACACCATGCTGCATTAGTAATATACTCAAAGCATGTGCCAAGGCCCTGACTGAAGAAAGAAAGTCTCAAGGGCACAGGATAACCAGACCTGTGATCATTCCTGGGTATGCCCTTGACAGATTCCTTCCTACACTGACTGCCACAGTGCACAAGGAACTAGATTGGTTTGAATCTGGAGTGTCTGAGGGGCATCCCAGTTCTCCTGTTCACCACATTATCTTTCCATGAATCAGGCATCTTGTTTGGCCTTTTAGTCCACAGCCACTCTAGGGAGGAGCTATTTTCTTCTCCGACTTCAGTTCCCAAAGACTCCCACTCAGAGGCCAGGGGACGAGCTTTAGGGCAACATTTGGTCCAACCAGTTAGAGGCCATTTACTGCCAAAAGAATTCAATAGCTTCACTCATTGACACTAATCAAGGCGCAAGTGCATGGAGCTGGAGCAGCTGCATAGGAAATCCCCCTTTTAATTCAGTAAGACCTCTGTCACACAGTTGGAACTTAGAAAAGGCTCCTATTCTACTTTTCACAACTGCTGAGGAGGGAATCAAGCCAGCCCCAGCCACATACATGCAAAGGCTAACATCTCCATCCAGGGCGGGCTCCAGAAGTACAACTCCAATCCTAGTGTGGATGGGCACATCCCTTTAAGTGACTTTACTTCCCCACTGATTCAGTCACTGAGGACATACTGGATGCTCAGCTCTTATCTAGGCACACAGCAGCCACACACAGAAGAGGCAGCACAACATATAACACAAGCAGGAGGCTCACAGGGGTCCACTGCATCCCTCTGGTCTTTCCACTCTTTGCAGCGTCTCAAGTTCTTTATGAATAACTTCTTCATTATGCTCTCTGCTATCCTGTGGCAGCTGTGTGGATGTAACTAGAGCCAAAGAGGACAGTTCTGTTATGGGAAGAGAGCTTCACCCCAAAGTCTGCTCGCCTGTCACCTATCACCTCTGGGAGGCAGGACATGCTGGGCCTCACCTTCCTCTGTCTTTGGGTTGTTGCTGTGAATGCAGACCTGCTCTTCCTGAGACTCCGGCACTGGTGCCAGCCATGGGACCTTCTTGAGGCTGTTCTCTGTGCCATAATGCACTATCCTAATGTTAATCAAGGAGCATGGTGACAGGAGGCAAAAGGAAGAGGGTTATGAAAGGAGACTGGGAGACTGAGTGATCTTCAGCTGTCAGTCTATGCCAGTTAGTAAAGGTGACATGATCAGATTTAGATGGTAGACTGTGAGTTCTCCAAAGGCCTAAAACACACCGAGGGTGTCTGGTGTGACCTACTCACTGCAGGACTGAGTGATGGCCCGTGTGCACGAGGACTCGAGGCTGCATTTCTCATGCAGTTTCCTGCCTCATCCTTCTCTCAGACATGGAAACCCTGAGGCCTCACCATGCGCCCTAATACTTTTATGTGCGCAGTCTCCCCTCTTTGTAGTACCAACCAGCCTGGAGTTCAAGAGATTGCCCTACACATCATGGGCCACCTCCCACCTCCTTTGGTTCTCCAGGACAAAGTTTGGTGAGAAATGCTATGTTTTCTTCCCCCATGAAGAACTTCACAAGGTTCCTACTAAGCAGGTGGGATGGAGGTTGTAGGAGATGCAGGATAATTAAAAATATTATATTTCTGCCTAAGAGAGAGGAGACCAGACGATAGGCCTGAACTGCCAGATTAGAGCTTCAGATGGCTGCCAGGGAAGAGGAGGGCGGAATCTTTTTCCAGTCCTGATTTACTAGCGACTTTGAAAGCTTAGGGGAAGGGAGAGCCTCTTTTTAATGGATCTGCTTGGATGTTGAAAACTGAGTTCATGACACTCATGGGTAATTTGTAACTGTGGGACAGGACGGGGGATGATGTTATGTGAGCCAAGTTTTCTGTGTTTAGAAGACACATGGCGGTATCACTATGATATCCCTTCTAATTCTTTCAAGTGGTTCAACTAATAAAATGGCACTCAATGGTTAGGCAAAAAGGAATGCCTGTGGAGAGTACTGGCCCTCTCAGGCACTGATTCCCATGACGTCAGACTGGAAATAGACACCTGCCACTAAACCTCACACACATGCTTCCCCAACAATGGACTCCTAACAGTTTTTCTGTTGTTCTGTAGAAGTCTATCAAGTTTATCAAGTCATCTCTAGAAGCTCATGTCATGTTGCTCATCAAACTCTTGGCGTTTTGTTTGTTGGTTGATTGGTTTTGTTTAATTTTGTTTTGTCTTGGTGCTGATGATCTAGCACATGCTAAGCATACAGCCTACCACAGAGCTACATCACCAGACCCAGACAACTTTAAAAGCAGCATTTGACTCCCATGCAGACCTCCTTTCACAGGAGGAAAAGAAAATACCTGCAGTCATTCTGTGGACTAAGCATTTGGTCTTCCTTTAAGTTAAAAGGAGCAGTAGAGGGAGGCGCCACAGAGGGAGTCTGGCTTTGGCTGCTGTGACTGACAACCTTTGCATCATCCCTTGGCCCCGCCTTGCCAATGCTGAGTCGCTTCCAAGTTTGTTGGTCTATCTCTGTCACAGGCCCAAAGTGCACAAACTTTTGCTTGGGGCTGGCTGCTTTCTTATAGGCCTGTGCTTTACGGCTGGCAAAGTCATCTCGGATGGCAGTCTCTGCGTTGATTTCTGGTGAAGGCTTGGGGGCACAGGTGTTCTGAGCATCTCCGTCCCTGGTCAGAACCAGAAATCAGTTCCAGGGCATTCCAAGGCAAGGACAAATCAAGATGAGGTTGAAAAGACAAAACATACTACCATGGCTAGAACACAATGTCTTTCCCATCAACCACCCAAATGAAGAAATGACCACATTCTTGCCTTGGTTAATAGTGCTTTAATTTTCTATTGCTTTCAAAGCATTAATTCCAACACCACAATTGATAGCATAAGAAAACTGTCGGTGCAGTGCAATGGTTAGTTATTCAAAAATCAAGTTGAAATTCTTTATAGTAAGCATGTCTAGGAGAATAAATAACCACTCTTAGAAAGTCAACTGGATAAAGAGGGTGTCTTCTGCTAATGGGGCTGTTAGTATTAATGTTTCCTCTCAGACAGAACATGTTCATTTTCAGACATTCTATGTTGCAAGAGGCTCTCTTTCCAGCCACCAAAACAGAAAATGAAACCCAGATAAGTGCTCAATTCTCTCAATGTTAAGTCCTACTATTGGGGGTAAACCATGACACACCTCATCTTTCCTGATACTTTCAATCTCTCCCATGTCTCCAGGTCAGCTTCTGTAATATTGGAGAGTTTGATGAAGCTTGGAGCCTCACGGTGAGAGTTATGTTTGCCCTGGATTCTCCTCTGGGCCAGGTCATCCTTCTGAAGATCTGGTGCCCTCCTGAAATTCGTTTCCATTGGTTCACTCTCCTGAGTTCTCGTGACACAGGCCACCGTTTTGTGCACCTCTTCTGGTGGGCCCTGGTCTCTGTTGATTTGATTCAGGCCCCCAAGTCATTATAAAAGTCAAGTTTGAGGAAAGGGAGCAGACAAACAGAATGTCAAGCATGGCAACTTAGAGGCTGAGGGCAGAGTGAAATGACAGGAACATCCTTTCAAAAACATAGGATTAAAAAAGCTATGGTCATCTTCATAGGATGGGACCAGGGCCCTGCACATGCTAGGCAAGTGCTCTACCATTGAGATACACCTCTAGCCCTCTGTGCTGCCCTTTTAATACTGTAATAAGGCAGTTTTTTTCCCATCTATGGTAGTCTCTAGCTTGTCTAGGAAGGAAAGCCAGGGCTGGCTAAAAGATGTCTGAGAAGGGCTATGAGATTTCAGTTTGACAGTGATGACTTGAGTAATTCCCACACTACTTAAGTCATGATAAGGAGTATGAATTTTCTATTGAGCCTCTCAGCCCTCTTAGAATGATTTTTACTGCATGAGTAAATGTCACTAATGAGCTTGGCATGATCCAAACTCTAGGGTTACTTTGGAGATAGCTGGAACATGGTTCAGATGGGAAACATCTCAACTGTAAACCTCCAGAGAGTATATTTAAGTTGATTCTGAATGGAAGGTTTCAACATTCAGTCTCACTCCTGTTTCACAGCATTAATCTGGGCTGGCTACTATAAGCATGAAGAACAGAGAATATATACTCTTTTCTCTGGATAGTAACTATTCACCATCCTGAATGCTGAACTGATATTCTTAAATTAAATGCAGGTTGACCTTACATTTAGTCTATCACATTGAAAAGTCTTTCCTGTGTGTGTGTACCAAGCATGGTGGTGCATATCTATCTGTAATCCTAGCATTTGGGGGATGGAGACAGGAGAAACAGGAATTCAAGGACAGCCTCAGCTTGTAAGTTCCAGGCCCAGTCTTGGCTACACAAAACCCTATGTCCAAAGAAAAACAAAACACATAACCAACTGTTTACCACGTTAAATAGTTTTGCTTATAGATTGCCTTTTAATTCAATGACGTGCAAGACAGATAATGATATTCTTAGTTTCACAGACCTCAACTCTCTAAAATGATGGGCAGAGAAATAGTAAGATGTGAACTCTGATTTTCATATAAGGAAAACTGACAATAGGATACATTTTTCAGGGTGAAATTCTACAAGTAAACACTTTGACTATTGCTACCCTTCTCTTTGTACAAAAATCACTGGTCAAATCCCACATAACTACAATTTTCCTTCCTCAGTTTGCTCCAATGTGTACAAGCTGACCACCTCTGGTCTAAGACACTTTAGATCAGCAGTGTTTGGGATTCCAGATTTTTAACATTTTGGAATCTTTTGTACATACATAATGAGGTATCTTGGGGATGGGACTCAAGTCTAAACATGAATTTCATTTCTGTTTCATATACATGCAATAGATATGGCCCAAAGTGATCTGTATATAATATTTTTAGTGCACCTGCATTTTGACTGTGACCTGTCATGTAAAGTCAGGTATGGGATTTTCCACTTGTGGTATGATGTCAGTCCTTAAATATTTTTTGATTTTGAGCCATTTTAACTAAGATGATGGGAGAAAGATGGGAGTAGGAAATTCACTTGAGAATTATTCCTGTGATAGTACCCATGGAAGTGTGTTATATGTTTGAGAAGGTGTGTGTGAGTGTATGTGTGTGTCCTTGCACTCATGAACATGTGTGCATGCATACATGTGTGTATATGTAATGTATGTGTTCATGTGTGTGAATACATTTTCTCATGTGCCTTGACATGCATGTGGAAGTAAGCAGGCAACCTCATATGTAGAGCTTTATCTCATCCCTTGTTGGGGACCCTCTCTTCTTTACTGCTATATGCTAGGCTAGCTGTCTTGCCAGCTTCTGACATTTCCCTTGTCTCCATCTCCCACTGCCTGGTAGACTGGAGTACCCTGGAATCACAGACACGGCATCTGGGATCCTTTGTGGGTTCTGTGAATCTAAACTCCAGTCATTAAACTTGCATGACAGTTTCTGTACCTACTGAGCCATCTACCTAGCCCCTGCTTTGTTTCAGATGAGAAATAGCCAACATTATTTGTCCAAGTGATCTTGCTTGTGTGAGAGACAAAAGAACAAGCTTTTTTTTTTCCTGTCTAAGAGTTGCTAATACAAGGGACTAAAAGGAAGGTAATGGCTGTTTTCTGCCCCCTTTGAATGGAGTGCCATGGCCTTGAATGTTGGTTGTTCTCTGAAAGGCAGCTGGACATGTCTAGGTGGCTAGTGATGTAAACTTACAACACTGGGGGCAGAAAAGAGAGGGATGTGACCATGTAAGATCATTTGTGCTTAATTATGATCTTTCTCATAGACACACAATGCACACCTTTTATATTCTAGATTGTTCTTGTCTGATGGTCCCCGTGAAAGCTGTTTGCTGCCACCCATCTTCTCTACATCTTTTTTCTGGTAAGGTCCATATAGGAGCTGAATAAGTGGCACTATTGGCTTGCTTTGGTTCATCCTTGCCCTCCTTGCAGCAAAGTCATCTTTCTCAAGGTCAGGTAGTTGACAGGCAGCTTCATCTTCTGACTCTGAGTCTTTGCTGTGTTGGGTCAGGAAAGGATTTTCCTTCCGAAGGATGATATCCCGAGTAGCTTCTTTCTCATCTCTCAATTGCTTTTGACTGACAGAGCAAAATCAAAGGGAACTCCACATGTGATCAGATTTAAAAAAAAAAAAAACCCAAAAAACCTTTAACTCCCCATCTTCAGCAATTGTACTGTTATAGAATAGTCCTCTTGATGCTGTTAGTTCAATGGGCATCACCTCATTATTTTAGTAGAGAGTTGCAGTGCAGTTAGGATAGGCTTACAATTTTGAATTCAGCCAGATACAAACACTAAAAAGTCATGTAATTTGCAGCGCTCCCATGAACATCCATGAAAGCAAAATCCTAAATGGCTCAGAAAGTGACAATCCAAATTCTTTTTGTGAAACTGGGAAACAGGTAGGGAACTCTTTATTGCTACTTTTCCTGATCGGCATTATTTGCAATGCATACAATAAGTACTCAGTTTGGTTTGGGCTGACAGAGCAAAGGAATGAGCCCAGGAAATGAATCTGGTAGAAAACTCATGAGTGAAGCCCATGTGCTAGAACACGGGACATGTGCCCACTCTAAAGCCCAAGGGAGGTCCTTCTACGACCAACTGAGCTGAATGGAGACAAATGGGTCAGATTCAAACCACTCGGGAAATGACAGAAAAGCTGACCAAGCCCTGCATTCTCCCATCAGCACCTGCTTCCTCCTTTCCAGTCCCTCTGCTCTCCACCACCCATGTCTGCTTCCTTTCTATTATTGGTGGAAGTGCAAGGCAGCAAGGGAAAGGCGTTCTGCAAAATTATTGCTACAGATGATTTCCATTTTCAAAGGAGTCTTGAAGCCCCTTAAACCCAGAAGCTTTAAACTGTTAAAGGCAATTGGATAATGACATGTCAGGCAGCAAGCCTTAGGACGCCTCTCTCTCTCTCTCTCTCTCTCTCTCTCTCTCTCTCTCTCTCTCTCTCTCTCTCTCTCTCTCTCTCTTTTGTCCTGGGGTGGATGGTAGGCAAGACAGCAATTGTGCTTATGTGGCATTCAGAGAAAATCCTGACCTTTCACCCATTTAAAAGACCAGTTCTATTTTTAAGCCACAACATGTGTTGGAACATTTATTCCCTGTTTATTGTATTCTCAGTTCATAAAGATGACAAGCAAATAAAAATAATCCAATTTCTACAAAAGCACATCTACTCTGTATGGGCTTTTAGAAAGATGACTAAAAGTTTTTGGTCTGAGGACATAGCAGAAGAGCAAATCAAAATAAATGGGTTTCTAAAAAAAAAAAAAAAAAAAGTGTACCTGTTTTGTATAGGCTTTATTAGAGGTGACTCAAAGTCCCCGAACAGAAGACAGAGCTTAGTGGCAAAGCACTTGCCTAGCATGCACACAAACCCAAGTTCAATCACTATTACTGCACCCCCATGTCCGCCAAATGTGTGTAAGGTTAGGCAAGATGGCTCAGAGGGTTAAAGAGCTTGCTGCCCAGTATGAGAACTTTCTGATTCTTGGAACCATGTGGTAGGGGAACTGACTCCCACAAATGGTTCTATGGCCTTCACATGTACACTATACCACACTGGCATGAACACAAACATACACACACATGCACACACATGCTTGCAAACACACACAGAAACACTAAATAAATGTTCAAAAAATTTAAAGACTAAATTCTTCATTATCAAAGGACAAATTCATGTCTAGAATGAAGACAGGAGGAATTATGTGGCTAAGGACAGAACCAGCAACCAGACAGTTACTCTGGTTGACCAGTCGGTCCACTGGCTGTTATTTGGTACTATCATGCTGCAAAGGAAGTCGTTACCATGTAGGGACAGCAGCTATCCTTCTGTCTGAGAGTTGAAAAATCAAAATAGGCTTGGTCATATTCACAACACCTTTTCACTATTAGCCACTGTTCTCAAGATTTTAAAACAAATGTGTGAGATGTTTTACTTCTCCTACCTAGTCTTTCCCTAAACTGTATTCATTTTCCTCCCTTAAATACTTCGTCAACATGCTTTGCAAATATCAATTTAGACTGGTCAACTATTGCTGTGAAGAATAGTTAGTAGAAAATGCAACAGCAAATTGATTAAAATGATGCTGTCTAATGGATAATGAGCATATACTCTGTGCTAGAATTCCTCCTAAGTAATAATTCTAAAATTAAGACTGCATGGCCTATGGTATACACTTATCCTCATTTTATCAAGTAGAAAGTAAGATTAGGCCAAGAAATTCGCACAAGGTCAAAGAGCTAGTGCATAAATTCAAATACAAATCAAGGCAGGCTGGGGCCAGAGGGCCTGCTCTATGACAATGAATAGACCACTGTAATACTGATTGGACAAACAACAATGCCAGGGACACCTTTGAAAGCAGAGCATTATACCAAAAGAAAAAAAAGAAAAAAAGGGGGGGGGGAGGAAAGCATTGTCATTACCATGAGAACAGGAAAAAGGGAAGTAATTTAGTTACTAAATAAAGGGATTTTTGTGAGTTGTGCTTAGAATAGAGTTGTAAATTACACTGCACAGCAACACTGAGAGGACTAATGATAGCAGAATGCTAACTAGTCCTACCTCACAATTTTGCTCAACATTTTAATATTTTACGAAGCCCTTTTGATAGGGAGCATATCACATAATCTTACACCTGTGTGCGGGGCAGACCATCAGTGTGAACTAAGTCTAAGATTTTTAAAATCCTTTCCACTCTCTGACTGGGAGGCCTGTTCTTCATCTCTGAAAGAATTTGTTAAAAATAAAAATTATGCATGTATGCAAATGGACTGCCAATTTACAACGCAATCTGAGCTGTGCAAATATGGTACCTTATGCATCTTGCAAGCCCAGCTGGGCTGCAAATTCCCCTAGTGTTTCTGTTTAGGCTAACTGCCCAGTGTGGCAGGGCTTGTTTCAAGTGATCTCCATTTAGATATGTGTGCTCCAAAGAAGACAATGAATCAATGGCCACTTTAAGATACGCCAGCTCTAGGAAATCTTTACTCCAACTGGAAAACTGTTACTATGAGAAATTCTTGTTCATTGTATGAATTCTGTAAATTCAGAGCTTTGTGGTCATCTCAGAGAAATGAAAAACTGATGTCAGTTATTGGCTGGCACTACTGACCATGAAATAAAAATGCATTGAAAGCAGATATGCAGAATAGTTAGACACAATTATCTATGTACCAAAAATATTTCAATGACTTCTCTTTTGTGTTATTTAATCCTTAAAGGCAGCTTATTGTTAAACTCCGGTATATTTTTAATTTGCAATAACTATGAGTCTAAGACAATGGTAAACAGACTGATGACCAAGAGAACCCTACAAACCAGGAATTAGAATGTCCATTTTGCAGAGAATATTAAGGTCTCTAGTTCAAGTTTCACAGACTTAGTTAAGTAACTTTAAATAAGCAGCCAAGTCAGACTGTTCAGACTTATATTTACTGATAGGTTTGGCAATTGCTGGGTGGACATGTCTCACTAGGAGGAATACAATCCATATGTAATTTGAAGTGCAGAACTCCAGTGAGGCCCTAGGACACAGTGCAATCAAAGCTACTTGGGAAGCTAAGTCAGGAAGATCATAAGTTCAAGATCTGGTTCAACTACAGAGAAATGCAGAGCCCAGCTTATCACCTGGCAACCCTGTCAGCCTCATCTTTAAAGAAAAAGGAGTGGGGGAAGGAGGGATGCTATTTTTGTAAGAGATTATTGACCCAATACATAGGATAGGGCAGAGAAAATGCTTGTCTCAAATATTCTTAGGTTTATATATTTCAAAGCATATGGGATAATGATTAAAACTAAGGAAGGAAGAAAAGTGGGATGGGGAGATAGGTCTGTAGGTGAGTCCTTGCTGTACAAGCAAGAGGACCTGAATTTAAATTTGCAGCACCCACTTAAGGGGGGTGGCTCCACTTGTACCCATAACCTCTGTGCTGGGGGCAAGGGGCAAAAGCAATGGCATCACTGGGATTTGTTGGCCACCAGCCTAGCTCCAGATTCAACAGAGATCCTGCTCCAAGAGAGTAAGGTAGAGGCTGATAGAACAACATATATGATGTCCTCTTGTGGCCTCTGCATGCAGAACACAAACACACACACACACACACACACACACACACACACACACACACACACACACTATAAATAAACTAAGGAAGAGTTGGCATTCTCTTTCACCCCGTTTACTTGGCAATGAGCAGCCAGCTTGGCTTGGCACTGAGGCTGTTCTATTGAAAGAAACTGGGCTCTCCAGAAAGGCCTGTTCGTTCTCTTGGGAATGTCATGGGCAACAGCAGAAACCTCCCTGTTACCCTGTCTCCAGGCACGGCAGACACATCCAGAGTCACAAAGGTCATGCCTGTGTCTGTCTGGTCCCTAGACTGGGGGATCTGTGCAGAAATCAGCAGGGAGCCAGCATCTGGTACACAGGGATGTGGAAGAATATGTGTCTGGCACTGGACTACATCTGCTGTTCCTCTGAAGATTTCTAAAATGACTATTGTCCCTTGGAGGGTTGTCCCCTCTGTCATTAATTACTATGTGGTTGAGAAGATCCACAGACCAACAGAAAATACTGAGTGATGAAACACATGCAAATAATTAGAAGAGCTCTACAGTCACGTGAAAGCTATAATTCAGTTAAAAATTATACTTCTCCAATGGGAAACACCAAATAAGAGAACCCAAATCTCTATGGTATTTTAATTTAGGGGGAAGTGAATCTTGGTTCTTGTTTTAACTGCTTAAAAACAGAAATATGGCTTCTTTGCCAGGATCTTAGGGGGAGGAGTAATTAAGTTAACATGGTCATAAAATAAAATAGAAGAAAAAGCAGTTTATATACTTTTTTAAACTGATGGAAACTCTAATAAATATTAACTGCCACAAGTTTATTGAGAAGTCCTACTTTCTGTTCCTTGATGCGAAGACACCTCCTGATTTATTTTTCACAAGCATTATGGGTCATTATTGGCTTTTAACCTCATATGACATGCACCTTTGCTATATGTGATGCACAGACATATGTGAGGGTCCTTAGGAATGAAACTAAAAAGTGGTCTGGCTAGAAAGGCTGTCCTCCACCCCCCACTGTGTCATGTCCCTTTCTTGTACAGCACATGCCTGACAAACAGTCCTTCCCAATTGAGCAATAACCCTCAAGAATTATCTTTAGCTTCTTGCTGGGTCCAAAAATGTGATGGCCAGAATCCATCTGGATGTCAAAACAAGAGACTTGAGGTCAAATGCTCTGAGAGATACTGGCATAGTTCAATGATTTATATTCTCACTTTCCACACACTGAGAACCCCCCACAATTTGCATTTCATTCCAATTAAGCAACTTTTTGCCACATTAAAAGCAGGACCCCAAGTATGGATAAACTTAGAATGACTTTCAGCTCTCCTGTACCTTGTATAAAGTTAAGTGACAAAAGTGTAGACATGCGAGGCTGGTGGCATGGTGTATGTGGGTTAGCAGCGAACTAGCAGCTAAAAACTGTCTACCAAATAAACCCTGGTGACTGGAGCAGATAAACGGTGCTTTTATTGGGGACATTCTGTAGGAATATTTATAGCTGCCTGGACATGATTTTAAATGCTGTGTGACAAAGTCTGAGGTGTGATGACATTAACACACTGCAAACTTCTGCTTCCTAGTTAACTTAGATGGCCCAGATAAGAATTAAATCAGATAACAGAAATCATGCATGGAAGCAAAAATGACCACCTAAATACAGCGTCTCCCATCAGAATCATGTTTTAAACCATGGCTCTATGTTTGTATACTTAATGAGAACTGTTATCAAAGAACTCAATGTTTTATTGTAAAATAGGCTTCCCACCAAGTGGCACAGGTCACTTATGGAACTCCCAACCTGCACACAAATTTGTGCTCTGTCATCTTATCCCTGTATGTGCCTAGTAAGCACCTTCCATTTCCTTGGTCATCCTCTAGTGCTCTTTCAAAGGCTCCAAAGACAATGATTTTCTTGAAGAATTTTAGCTAAAGGACTTCACAGATATGATAAGGATTAAGGTATGTGCATCAGAGATGTAGAAATTTGATTGGCATGTTTTGTGCTTATCTGCATAACTTAGTAATACTCTAATTGTGTTCTAAGTTTAAAGAGGGGACTCAGGCAAGTTTGAAAAATGGGGCACGGTGAAGGGTTGGTATTCATTTCTCTATTCAGCTCATAGCTTGGCCTCTGGGATATAGAGATGCTTGAAGGACACAGGGAAAGTATATTTACAACACAGTCAAAGAATATTTGGATATTCAGAAGATACAGTATGATATTATTCTTCATTATTTCAGAGACCTCCTTATAACACAAGCAGATTTTACATCAGAATTTCGAGAAACATATGTTTAGAGTAGGCAAATTAATTGTGGGATATTACAAATGGAAGGAATATATTCTTTTTGTGTGGCTTTAAAAAGTCAACACAAAGCTACTCTACAATTAAATCTATAAAAGCCAACACTGGATATTTCAATCAAGAACTAGACCAAGGAAATAACCACATAAGGGGCACATAGAGAAATACACCGATGGGAGGCAGATGCAATGCTATGGTCAAAATACCTGAATTTGGCTGCCTGGTCAGTTCTATAGGTCACTTACTATCTTTGTATGCTTTGAGTGTGAACTCTCACCAGAACCCCACTGGCTCATGTGTTTGTTGCTTTCATCTCTAGATGGTGACACTGTTTTGGGAGATGGGACTTGGGATCTGACTGGCAGAGGTGAGTCCCTGGGGACAAACCTGTGGGTGGAGGGTTGTAACTTGGCCATAGTGATCCCATTCTCTACTGCCTGCCACAATAAAGCCAACTGCTTCATGCCCCCATCAAGATGACCAAGCTGACCCCCCACCTCACACTTTCCCTGACACGATGGACTAAGTCCCCTGAGACCATGGGTGAAAATAAATCACTCTTTCCTCAAATGGCTAAGGTCAGGTACTTTTTTCATAGCACTAAGAAAATTAATATAGTCACCCATCCCTTGTTTCTCCTTCTGGAAAAAAAAGAATGTCTTAAGTGACATTTTAGAACAAAAAGGGACAGCAAGTATGAAAGGAATTTCAAGTGTCAAACTGCTCTGAGCATCAATTTGTTACCTAAGTATTGACTGCAAGATTATTTGTGAGGATCACTGTGGTTCTTATATAAAAAATAAACAAGCTTTTCAACGCACCCCCTCCCCAGGAAAACTGTAGACCTGCACAACTGTGTGGCTTTGATTGTTGAAACACTTTCACCTACCCTATTAAGCCAGTAGCATTGCACGCTAATGCCTTTAGCTGTGATGAAGAGAAGTCACTGTTTCATTCCTAGCTTTTGAATCACCATGCTTTAGAAAATACATTGACAAATGCAGTCTTCACTACTCCTTAAGAAAACAGGTGTATTTTTGTAAGTCTGTTATTCTCTATGAATAGATGGCCCCCTATTTCAAGACACTGAACATATTCTAATGATGGGTCGGTCACATGAAGTAATGAGCCATTTAGGAGTAGAATGAAAGTTACCAAGACACAAGCGATAGGAAAATAAATGTTATTGCTGGGTAAATCCTGCAGCCCATAATAACTGACCACAGGGATGGGGTCTAATGAAGCACAGAGGAGCTCACACTTTATCTCCATTTTAACTAGCCAGACTTAGCAGAGACATGCCCCCAGGCTGAATATCTATTTCTATTCGTCCCGAGCAGGGAAGAGTGATGCAATGGACACGTAGCAACTGGGGAAACAGGATGAGAAGTCCAACTTGCCAGACGGAGTCCAAACCTGCGGGCATGCAGAGAAGGCCAGGCAGGCCAGCCTTCAGCTGGCAGAGCTAACCTGGCAAAGCGCTGTGCAGCAGGCATGACCTTGATCCCAGCTTGCTCCAGCCTTCTGCGCTTTTGGCTTTCCACAGCATCTCTGTCTTCGGGAATGGCAGCTGGCACTGCAGCCACATCCTCAGGAGACTGCTCCTCAGCAATGCTGGGAGGAGGTTCTAACCCACTGTGAGGGCTGCTGGGGTTGTCTTCACCTGGAGACCCTGCTTCACTTCCCTCCTCCGCTATTGTTTCAGGGTAACTAGTGAGTTGGACAACATGGCTTACTAAGCTAACAGACAGGTCAGGGAACAGACTGGGCACTGCTTCCAAGACATTCTCTTATCACTCTTAACTAAAATAAACTGTCACAGCTTGGAATGCGATTCTGCTAATGTGAGGCCAACTTAGTGTAGCTAACGAATACAATGCACTTTTTCTACATACTGATCAATGACTCTTGCAATTTTTTTTTCCTTCTGGAAAGGTAAAATTCATTAGTTTTAATCCATAAGCAAAAATTTTAACAAAACATTTCCTCAGTGGATAATAAAGTGAGATATTGAAGTGCTTAAAAGGTTACTAGACATAGGGACTCTTTCTTACTACTCTATAATGAGTCCCCAAATCCTAAAAGATAGCACCCAGCACATAATTGATACTCAGCACTTAACAAACACTTGTAGAATAAATATGTAATTTAATACTGAGATTAAGGAATAGTTTCCGTCTCTAAAAGAATGAAGAACCCGTCTTCTATCTATTCTGACTCTTGTCTACTCTTGGTCTTCAAGCCCCGTCAGTGCCGTTCTCATCTTTGCTTGCGCTAGTATGAGTGCATCAAGAGTCTTTTTGTATAGTCTTTGTACACCCATTGTAACGGACTCAGAAATGGGGCAGCCTCTACAGGAGGGTACACATGACAAGTGTGTTTTCCATATTCTGTCAACAGGACTGGCCTCTGAGCATCCACTCCTCAGTGAAGAATTTCTTGGTGCTAGGTACCTTCATGAAATCGGTATTTTATGACAAGCTCTATGGGATGCACTGGCCACTTACTTTCCTTCAAAATGGTGCATTAAAGATCTGAAAGCTCATTCCTACCTGAAGGGCCTTTCCCCGCCAAGGGGGGAGGTAGCCGTGCTCCAGCTTTTCCTGTATTCCTCCCGCTCGGCCTTCTTCCTTCTCAGAGGTGCGGGGACATAGGCCGTCTGGTTGCTTTTGTTTGGGAGGTACTGGTTAAAAGGCACTGCAGACTTCGGCTCGCCATGGGAAGTCCGTCGTGCAGACATATCATCTTTCTTCACATCCGGCAACTTCCGGTGCGGCAAGTCGGATTCAGAGTCGCTTCCTCTTCCTGGGAAAGAAAGGATGATATGGGAAAATGTGTTGGGCTCACAGAGACATCCGGTGACATCTCTATAGACTCAAGGGTAACTCTTATGTGTTCTAGAATTCATACCCCGAGTTAGTAACTTGGAAAATGTCTAAATTAATCTCCTCTGGAAAAACGCCTCCATTTTAATGAGGGAAGAACAAAAAACTACAAGCATTTTTTTTTTTTTTTTTAAAGTAGAGGTAAGCTTAAGTGTGCTGGGAATTACAGTGATATATTTGTGTGGAATTGTTTGCCTGCCACTCTCAAAAAAAAAAAAAAAAAAATCTCACCAGTTCCCCAATGGGGGTTTTACTGATCTCTAGTCAGAGTCTACTATACTAGACATTCTGACAAGTATGCATTAGAAATTGTCTTCATGTAACTTTAACCTCTGAACACCGAGAAGATGCAAATTATCAAAGATAGATAAGAATGGCAGAACTTAGAAAAGTGACCAGCTGGGGGCTTCACTGAGGGTTTACCTTCCAGGAGGTTACATGTTCTTTTACACATTTTTCTCAGTTCCCTGAGCTGGGGGCAATCTTCTTCCTTCCATCCCTAAGCATGATCATGTCTTCTCTCCTGGTACATAGTTCCTTCTCTGTTTGTCATGAAAACCAGAGCTGTCCAGTGCACAGCTTCTAAGACATGCCATTGCAGCCAATGGGCAGCTCACACTCAGAGGGATACATAAGTTAGTTTGGCTGAAAGACTGTTTTGTTTTGTTTTGAATGCAAAGGAATTCTGCTCTGCCAACATCAGCCCTGCTCCTAGGTCACAGCACTGAGAACTGTAACATATTCTTTTTGTCCAGGCCTTACGTTGTTAGATTTCTAAGATCTATTAAAATGAACTGTCATTAAGTCAAACACAATCATATCAGTGACTGCTACTTTATGCTGGTTGAAAACTCTTAATCAATGAATGAGAACATGACATCATTCTGACTCTGTTGCTAACAATGGCATTTATGCTTAAGAAGAGAGCCAAGAGTTGGAACAGGGCAGAGGGGTAGTGTGCAAGGTCAGCTCCATTCCATTTCCAGTTCTGCTATTCGTTAGTCTTGTTAACCTGACCACTAAAGGCAGCATTGTCTAAACTACTAAGTAGGTGTAATAATGCCATCTGCTTTTTGGGATGACTGCAAGGGTTGAATCCAGTATCTGCCACTGAGTATTTAATACAAATTGTCCGCTCTTTCTGTTGTAACAGTTCTGGGTTCATCAGACATGAGCTGTGGCTTCTTGAGTTTGTCTCTAACACACTTGACTGTCCTCTTCTGTGACATTGGAATGAAAGAGTTTACCCCAAAGATTAGATAATGTAATGATGTTTAAGAGATCATAAAGGTTAAGAGCACTGGCTATGAACAACTTGTCCATTGTATGTGAAATATTCAGACCATGAATTATTCATGGCACTTACAGTCTCTCTTCTGAAATTTTGGCCATTTCCAGACTTAGTATTTGATTCATTGCTTCGCCCATTTTCCCACAAGTCTTAACAAGTGTGTCTGTCAGTGCCAAAATAAAATGTTGCCTGTAAACAAATATGAACATCACCTTGCCTTGCCAAGAACATGGATTTGTTTCTCCACTTGATAGCAGCCTCTCTTTATAAAGATAGAAACAGGCTCAGAGTGGCCAGAGGGGTTCCCAACTCCCCATGGCTGATTAGCATGGGTTCAGGGAAACTGGATTCTGCTTTTCAGACACCCAAAATTCTATTCTGTGAGCACAGCATGGTGAGAAAAACTTCTTAAAGTGTCCTGATGAGGGGAAACACTCCACTGTGCTGAATAAATAAATGAAAGCAAGTAAGTTTTTCGTCTACTCCAACAGCTTAGAAATGGTTACAATCTAGGGGCCATAGTTCTGTATAATAGCTAAATACTATCACAATATAGTGAAAGTCTCAAAATAAGTTAACATGTAAGTACAGCCCTTTCCTCCTTGAATTATTCTTCGGGACTATCTCAACAGACATTTTAAGAAATGTTAACTTGCCATTGTTCCAGGGCTTAGCTGTAAGGTAGCTTCATAGACGTACAGCCAAGATGGCATTTCAGGTCCACTACATGCTAGCTCCGTGACACTGGGAGTTTAAACCCCATGTTCCCTAGGTTCCCATGGCCTACAGAGAGATGACACTAGTGCTCGCCTGGAATGTTGTGAGGATTAAATGAAGTGACACAGAGGACCTCTGGAAAGCTGGCATGGTATGCCTGCATAATTGTAAGGTTAGACCTGAAACAGATTTTTATTTCACTTCATCCTGTGGACATGGAAATTTACTAGGTTGGCTTCTCCCCAAATACTCAAAGTTAGAAAAACATAACAAGGCACACGAAGCATTATTATTTTTATCAAAGTCCTGCCCTTCTTTTTCATGAGGCCGCCAGCAAGTAGAGCCATTCTGTTTCCCTTACCCTCCTCACCCCCTCTTCCTTCCACACACTTGCTGCTAAATACCCCCCCAAATTACAAAGACTTTGTAATTTTTTCTAGTACTTTATTTTTGCTCTTTATTTCTATTTTGTAACACATCTTTTTGAAAAAAAAAAGGCATACTGAATTAATGAAAGGAGTCATATTTATGAAATATTACTAATTTTCAAAGCACATGAGTGCAAAGTTGCATTTCTTGCCCAATGAAGTTTCCTGAGCGACCTCACAGGGGATACTAGTGGAGGCTGAAGATGGCATTTGGTACCTGGCTGGCAAGACAAGGTGGCTGAAGCAAGCCTGGGGCTTACAGCTTTCCTACCAGGAAACCATACCCAACTCAGAATCATGGTGCTTCTGAATGTGGCTTGTCTCTTTTGAATTGGTCAGTGGGTACCCACCCATAACAACAAAGCTGAAGTGTTCCATATGGACCCAATATAAAGGCAAAGAATTTTTTGGTAAAATTGTCCCTGATTTATTGTGAGTCTTGGGACAAGAAGATGTTAAGACCAAAAAAAAAAAAAAAAAAGTGTTCCTACTGCGGAACTACTCATTATACTCATTAGAACTAGCAATCTTACTGATTAGCATCATTTTAAAGAAACACACCAGAAAGGAAGATTAAGAAATGTGTTTTTTTTTTTCTTTTAAAACTTCCCTAGGTCTTGATTAGTTTACAGGAAGAAAGCCTTAGGATATCAGATTGACTGGTAAAGCCTGTAGAAGGTGCACAGTGAGGGGGATTGCTAAGGCTGTAGTCTACATTGTTCATCTGATGGAGCAAGAATTTATACACAGGCTCTAGTTTATCAGTCTTAATTGCTACAACTAAGCTGTGCTTTGGGATGTTTTAGTATAATATTACTAATCACCATCTCAAATGCTTTCAAGATGCAGTTTAAACTCTGAACCCTTCAAAGCCAGTGACAGACTAAAGCATCCACAGTACCAACTATAGAAAGAAAGAAAGAAAAAAAAAAGGTGAAAAAAAAGTTGTAATTTTTAGAAGTTAAAACAAACAACATGGGTGAAATAGTTTGGCTGAGATGTCATTTGCAAAAGCAAACCCATGCTTGGGTTATACTAAAGCATAATTAGATCACGGACTTGGTATTTTAACTTCTAGTGCTGTGGGTGGCACTTAAGATGTCAAATAAAATTGCAGAAATATTTTTCAAGCAGCTCACAATGTACCATGGAATTCTTTAGGAGTCACACACTATGTGGCCCCAAGGCAAATCTGTCTGCTGAAAAGTGTGCGTTCTGAGCAAACAGATTTGTTCAGTGACTTTAGAATAAAACTTCTATCCGGTAAAGGGAAAGTAGCCTGGGTAAATTAAAAGTACCCATTTGAACCAATACTTCTTGAGGTTGTCATAATTTAACTACTAGACTGACAGTGATTCCCAACATTAGGAGATGATGAGACAAAGACTTAAACTCCTGAAGACACATCTGTAAAATAAGGATTAGTGGTGTTTCCCAGCTCCATGCAAGCATAAACTAAGATGTGGCCAGACACCAACATCTATGCTGAAGAGTAAATAAGATACTGCATGCTAAGCATTAGTCTTGCTTATGACCTGAACCTGTGAAACATTCATGGATTACAGTGACTTGCATGGCTGAGGAGTTTGGGGTAAAGCTCAGTGGTACAGCACTCACCTAGAATTCACAAGGTCTAGGGTCAATCTCTAGCACTTCACAAAGCAAAGCAAAGAACTACAGTAAGAATTTTATATCCAGAAAGCAACACTGTAGCCACAAAGATAATCTTGATCTCAGACACTAGAAGAATATCCCAAAATATTACTATCAACCAAGCAACATATGCCAAAATAGAAACGAAAACTCCCCCTCCAGCCTTGCTGTTTTTCTGCAAGTTTACACATGCTGAGCCCAGCCAGCTGCCCTCCTTAAAAGCCCAAAGGTACAAGAGAACTAAACCAAGCAGCTCTTAGTAACAGCCATTGAACACACATCAGGCTACAGGACCATACAGTTTTGTTTTTTTGTTTTGTTTTCATTTTTGTTGAGAAAATAATGATCATTCCATACAATTAACATCAAATCCGCAGGATTTAAATAAAATTTAGCCTTGGAGCCAACAGGCAATCTAGCTAGGCACTATTCATTCATGGCAATTTGCACTGAGCTAGCCCACCAGTCAGATGTGCTAAGCATCAAATTGATTGATAAAACAGGTGCTAATTAAGATGACACAGCCCGCCCCCGTCACCCCCAGCTTTAAGGATACAAAGTACACTTTTAGTTTGCTGGGGATTTGTTGTTCCATTTTCACTTTCATCGTGTGTTACTCACTAAACATTTCCCTTCCTTGTACCCACAGTATATAAACTTGAGTACACTTTATGAGCTAATGGTCTGCACAGTGTCTTGATTCAGGCAATAATGATGTAACGCATTTTCCAACAGAAGATACACTCACTGAGGCAGTGTTCAAATGAACTGCTGGCAAAGCCAATCAAAAATTCTAAAAGACATGAAAAACAACAGTCAAAGGTCTTTTTTTCTGTGTCGTTCCCCCCTTTGCCTCCCCCCTCCAGGTTTTATAGAATTACCAGGCTCCAGCCAGGTGGATATGGAGACTGCCCTCCCAGTACTCAGCTCTCTAACTTTGACCCTGAAACTCCCGTTAATGATTAACTCCAAGATGTATGCTGTAGGAAGATCCAACCTACCATCACTACTTCCCCTGAGAACTACATCTGGTGAAGGTGTCTGCCGGGAGCGGGAGCCAAAAGAATCCAGGCTGTCAAAGGAGTCATCTCGGCCGTGGCGAGGAGGAGAGAGGGAATCGCTGCGCTCAGAATCCCAGCAGTCAATGTAGCCGCTGTCTCGGATACTGCGCTTAGGGCTCTCAATGTCATCAGTCTCCTGTCCCAAAATAAAACGGAAGAATTTCAGATATGACTGCAACATATCCGGCCTCCAATGGTCCGCAAAGACACTTGCATAGGCGGTCTGGTGTGGAGAAGTTGTAGCAGCGAGCTAATGAGACTAAAGAGCATCAACAGGTGACTAGCCAATTCCTCAGCTTTTCTCTGCTGCATCCTTTCAATCAGAATATAATGCACAATTGAAAAAAAAAAAAAAGCCCCAAGCAACTCACATCCCTTAATTTTTAAAAAAGTAATTAAATCACGAAGTTTGGATTCACAAGAATGCAATGATTATTGACAATAAAGACAAAACCTTTGACCTGTCTTTCGGAATCCATAACCGCATGTCTGTGGGATCAGTCCCCTAGCTCAGCGCCACTGCTGTCTGGCAAATGCAGGCAGAATCAGGGCTGTAAAATTCTGGAGCTGCGTGCTTCCATCTCCTGCTACCTTGGAGGGAAATTCCTGCTTTGAAAGCAAGCTGTCTTTCTGAGGCAAAAGTTAAGGGAAAAAAAAAAAAAGCCAATGAAAAATATGCAAAACACTTTTCCTGATGCCTCAGAAGAATCCAGGCATGCTCTCTCTCTGCCAGTTCTTGGCGTTGGGGGAGCTGCAGGCACTTGTGGCTGACCCACATGTTCAGAGTAGGGAGAACAATGGCTGTCTTTGACAGCCTGTGATTATAAATTCTTTCCAGCACAAGCGGCACATACTAAAACACTGAAACTCCAGCAGAAGAAAGGTCAGTCAAAACCATCCTCACCCTCTTATTAATATAAAAGCCTTGTTCCCGACAGTGCCTTCGCATTCATTACGATAGTCCAGGCTGACGAAAACAAAAATAACTCCCGTCACTTAAAGATAAATCTCTGCTTAATATTCCTGAGACTGTCGCTAGAAATTGAGACTGTGGATCACACTGGCAGAGGAGTATGCACTCACGGACAAAGAGTGGAATGTTACCCCATAGATTTCCCAGGGAAGCACATGGAGGTCCCCTCTGCATTCCCAATGGAAAGGAAAATAAATAAATAAATAAATCAGCATTCTCCGTGTTTGCAGTTTGAGACACTGGTCTATTTTGTCTGAGATGCCCCTGAGAGCCCATCCATGCCTTTGCAGGAAATATATTTGCTGGCTGCTTCTAACAATTATGGGGCTTGGGGGTGCTTCTGACCCATTCCCCACCCTAGGGTGACAGGTATAAGGGACAGGATGGTTGCAATTCACAAAGCATACTTGGGTTTCCCATCAGTAGGAAGGAGTGGGCAAGAGGACAGGGGTCAGGGCTGGGAGGAAGCCTCTGCAGACCCAGCCAATTAATGAATGACCTGGAGAACAGGCTGTCAAATGCCTGGGTGCAACTAGCAATATGACACTCTTGGGTAGTGTTCTCAAATGTTGCAACCCTTTAATACACTCTCTCATGTTGTGACCCCAACTATAAAATTATTTTGCTTCTACATAATTTTAATTTTGCTACTGCCATGAGTTGTAATGTGAATGCCTGACATGCAGGGTATCTGATGTGTGACCCCTGAAAAAGGGTCATTTAACCCCCTAAGCAGTTGAGACACACAGGTTGAGAACCACTGCTCTAGGGTAAGACAAAAATACCAGCTATGGAAAGTAAGGTTAATTACTTGCAGGTCAAAAGTTAACCAGAATTTGGAACAAAATCCAGGCCTGGGGAGTTGAAAAAAGAACTCACGACTCACTGAAAAATATAGACCTGAATTAGAGGTTCAAATTTAGCTTCTTGGAAATATAGTTATTATTATTATAAATTACTCATTGACTAAATGACTAAAATCTGAAGTTTACTTTTATTGAACACTTACTATATGTCTGGGTCATGCTCTTTGCATATCATGTTATTTACTTCCATCACCAGTCATGGTGGTAGTTAATAATATCCTTAATTTATGGAAGAGGAAAATAGGAGTCAGAGAGTTATTTTAAATTAACCCACACAGTACATGATAAGTATTTAAAAATAATACCTAAAACTATTGATCTCTGGGGGTTGGCAAGATGGCTAAAGATTGGATGTTGCCTGCATCCTTGCATGGTGAATGCTGTCAATCTGGGTTATGTCTCCCAGTTAATGCTGTTTATGACCAAATGACTGAAGGAGAAATGTCACAGAAGAGATGCAAGTTATAGTCATGGCTAAAAATTGAGCTCCAGAAGCCATAACAGCTGGGATTAAATCTTGCTAGTTGTGTGATGGACAACTCATATAGCCTCATGGGATACCCACCCAACAGAGCTTGTAGGACTATTAAACATGTAATATGTGGAAAGAAGTTGGAACAGAGGATAATGCAGAATAATGACTCTAAACAAGTATCAGCAATGTTTTAGCTACTATTTCTTCGATAAGGCATATACATTTTGATATAGGAATTATGCAGTATTTATACACTGGTGTCAAAGGCAACACTTTGCACACTGATCTGTTCTTTCTCTACTCATGTCTCGATGTCTTGCAAAAACAGACACTCAGGGAGCAAGCAGGGCCACTGGCTGCAGTTGGAAGCAACATATTTGCAGGCTGCTTGGTGCTACATGACAAAACTGAATTTTCAAGAAAATAATATCAGGAAGGTTTTCCTTGAAGCCCGGGTCTTCCTCATACCTTCAACTGCAGAAGATTCAGAAAGAGGGTCAGTGTGTTTTTTCCTGGAGCCTTAGCAGCTTTCTCCCTGATGCTTGTGGGAAGGAAAAATAGAAAGCTTACCATGTTCATGACCATGTAGTAAGCCAATAGTTGGCCTCCCAGGAATGCCACAGGTAAAGCAAAAAAAAAAAAAAAAAAAAAAAAAAAAAAAACAACAACAACAACAAAAAAAACGTGGCTATCCACCGGACTTCCAGTTTTACTGGTTTCAATCAAGTCACCACCCCCCTTTCAGGAAGAGGGTGCTATAAAATGAAAATGAGGCTTTGGATGAGGATGGAAAATATAAACTAACACAGACAGGTATTTCACGGGGTCTAATTGTATTGTTCGTGCCTTTCATCTTGGAGCACAACACTCCTGTCTTCCACAGAGCTCTCAAGAGATGACATGGAAGACTGGAATCAAACCCCTGTACCAACTGCTCACTGTTCTGGTGAAAGAGAATTCATAAAGGGAATGGGCAACGCTAGCTTCCATGAATTCTGGGCTTATTTCACTAATCCCCCTTCTTCTGAGTTCCTCTGTGAGTGTTAATGAGAGCCAGCAAGGGCCTGTGGATGACTGACAGTATCTAAGACAGTCCAGATGCCTTCTCTGGACAACTCAACATTTTTCTGCTTGCTGTGTGATTTATGGGGTGGCTGAGTGCTGCTCTAACATGTCTGGTTTAACTTCTCCAACATGATTGCCCATTCCTCACTCATCATACAGGTTGTGGAAGCGATTCATTCCACTGATATTGTCCAAGTGCCTCCTAGGTAATATTCTAGCCCCGGGGACACTGCATCATAAAAATAAATCAACAAACACCTTATTTGTAGGAACCTTGTGTTCTGATAGGGAAGACCACTGATAAGTAGATACAAAATTGGAGAATGAGTATGATGGTAGTGGCTATATTTTATGTACTTGCCTCTTGTGCATTTGTTTGCCAGTCATACTTCTCCCTTTTTATCCCTTCCTTCTATTGATGCCCTCACCTCTTGGATTAGGAATGAATGGGCCAGTCATACCATTCCACGCCACCCCTGGACACAATGACTAATGTAGAACAGGACAGCCTTCTTTGGAATTATACCTCTGAGCTTAGAGGACATACTCCCTTAACTTTCAAGGAACTAGAAGCATCTTCCCTGGAGATGCTATTTGCTACACCCCTTTATGAGGGTTGACTTGCTTACAGGGAGGAGAATAAATTCCAGAAGACATGGGGATAATGAGTGAAGGTCACAGAGAAATAACCCACATTGCTCACAACACTGAGAACTCCAAGCTTCCTTCCATTTCAGAATTCTTGTTAAGGGTTCTCCATATATTAAGTATTAAATAGGTACCCTATAATTACTGATTTTGTGCACATCTTCCCACTAGAAAAAATGAATATTACAATTTTTGAATTAGTCCCTTTTGAGGAAGACACAAATTTAATTTCAAATTTATTTCAACTAGCCTCTGTACAGAGTGTTCAGTTGTCTCACAAAATCTGTCTACTCCTCGTCTAGTAAAAAATATTTATAATTATTTTTATAGCTGAAATAAAGCCTTTCTTTTCCAAGTCTTTACTTGCAGATGAGTATGAATCTGTGGCCAAGTCCAAGTCAGTGAGAGGTGAGTTGGGAGTTGTTATTGTCCATTTTCATTTGCTAGAACAGAACGTCACAGATTAGGTAATTTAAAAAGAATTTACACATCGAAGTTCCAAAGTGTGCTAAGTCCAATGTTAAGGTGTTGGCATGGAGAAAGGCCTCCATAGCATGATGGAAGTGATTCTCAACTTAGAGCATGCACGTGTAATGGACAGTTTGCCTTGATAACACAGCTAGGATAACAAACCCACTCTGGCAACCACAGCATCAATCCATTTGTGAAACTGTACTCCTCATGGGCAAATAGTCTGGAGAGTATAACTCCTGTTGCCACCATCACAGTTAAAGTCCAGCATGAGTTTTATGGGGGGAGGCATTCAAACCACAGCAGGATATAGTGTAATTTTCTAAGCGCATGCTCAAAGAATAGTCCCCTTTCCTCCTTCCTCCTGACTTCAATGTGGACATGACAGGGAAAGCCTGAGCAGCTAGTTTGAGCCAGCAGGGAGAAGCCACAGGCTGAGGATGATGGCACAAGGTGAAGATGATGGCACAAGGGACAGAAGGGTCTGAGCTTTCTGGCATGGCCCTGGTGTAGAACTCCCGCACTAGCTCTGGACTGCTTGTTCACACCCAAATCCCACTAACATGAGAAGAAATAAAATATTCCTTTCAGCTGTTATTTTGAGCTTTTACACTTTGTAGTTGAACCCAATCATAAGTGAGAACATGGAAGAATAAGTTCACACATAAAACACTGCCAGCATTTGGATAGACCAGTATCTTTCAGGTCATCTCGCCTCAAGCACAGCTATGACATGGGAGTACCACAGGTGGCCACAGTTGTGAAGAGCCATATTTTGTCCAGTATTGCCAACCCTGGCATCCTAGCCTGTGCTACCATCTACCTTTCCTCAAAACAGAAGCAGCTGCTAACGGTAGGCTACTTTAAGTCAGCGGAAGGCATCATCTCAGCAGGCAGCGAGCTAGCAAAGCAGACTAGGTTTCCCCCAGTCTATCAGCAGAGCTGAAAGACTGAAACAGTTTTCAACAGATGACCTACCTCGTATTACCCAAATACAATTGAATATAGAAGCAACCATTTACACTGCCAACTCCCCACCAGCAATGACACCTGGAACAATTGGATGAAAGATAAAGGGGCAATAGGAAGCCAAGGGAAGATACAATGTGTTGTGCTTACTGTATGGGTATATTTGTTTTATATGCCATGATAAATACAAAGATTGTTTTTGTTACTTTGTTTTTCAATGTCAGGGATCAAACCCAGGACCTAATGCATGCAGTCCAGTCCTCTATATTGAGTACATGTCCAGCCCTGCTTTGTTCATTATAGATACGTGAGCCAGATTGGCTTTGGTCAAATGCAGAGACTATTCACTTTAGGGCAATGGTTCTCAACTTTCCTAATGCTGCAACCTTTTAAAACAGTCCCTCATGTTGTGGTGACCCCCAACCATAAAATTATTTCATTGTTACTTCATAACTGTAATTTTGCTATGGTTATGAATCACAATGTAAACATCTGATACACAAGATATCTGGTATGCTATCCTGTGAAAGGGTCGTGACTCACAGATTGAGAACCACTGCTTTAAAAAAAAAAAGACCAATTTATTAGAAAGTTAGAACAGATTCTTATTTCAGAACTAAGTCATGAAGTTCTAAATATCCTAAAAAACTCTCTCTCTCTCTCTCTCTCTCTCTCTCTCTGTGTGTGTGTGTGTGTGTGTGTGTGTGTGTATGTGCGCGTGTGCGTGTGTGTGCACGTGTGTGTGTTATTTGGGCATATACAGGTGAAGGTCTGATGAAAACTTGTATAAGTCAGTTCTTTCCTTCTACCATGTGGGTCTTAGGGATGGAACTTAAGTCATAATGCTTGGTGGCAGCATCTTTGCCCACCGAGCCAACTTGCTGGCCTTTTTGATATTTTCAGTGAGTCTCATTAGTAGATTTATTTTGTAGAAAAGCAAGGAAGGGCTGGCCTCAATTATCTGTGCTTTGAGCTGGCCCTGACCAAAATACATGCATGATAACTGCTTACAGAGGCTGCTTTCCAGGGATTCCCCTATACAATACTGTGAACCAATATTTTGTATGAATTAACTATAGGCAGGTACATGCAAAGCATTCCACTGTTTCTTTAGCAAATTCTTACCTTCTGTCAATCCTTCCCAGAGCAAACAAACCAAGATGTTAATGCTATGCCATCCAATATTTTGCCAAATATACACATCAAGCTTTAAAACCATTTTTTGAGTTTCCAGATCACTCAGATATGACAGTCACCAGACACACATGGTAGAAGGAATACTTCTAGCTTCTCGGAGCCTGTCCAGGGTGGGAGCTGGGGCAAGGACATGGCTGGCATTACCATGCCCACATTGAGGCCCTAACAGGCAGGCACAATGACCTTTAAGCTGAGAGTACAGGACAAGAGTTTGCCTTTGTATAATGCCACATTGTTTATTTCAAGCATCAATCACTCCCCAAAATGCACAAGCCATGAGCTCCATGGTGTACCAAACCATATACCAACGCACCTCAGATTTTTTTACTCACTGGCGAGTGTAAAGTATAAAACTTCAAGTGATATAAGACGCAGGAGGCAAATAGGCTCTGAGTAAGACAAATGGTCCTTTTCTTGAGTGTATACCTTGGGTCAGTACAGTTCCACCATGCAAAACTATAATTATCTTCATTTTAGTAAAGATTTTTATTCATTCTACGTGTATGAGTGTTTTCTTCTAATGTGTGCCCACAGGGGTCAGAAGAGGGCATAATTTCCCCTGGACCTGGAGTTACTTCAGGTTGTAGGCTACCATGTGGCTGCTGGGAACTGAACCTCAGTACTCTGGAAGAGTAACAAATGTTCTTCCCCACTGGGCACTTTAGCCCTAGCACCATAATCACCTTTAAAAACATGTTGCTTTCCCATTTTGTCCAACCCTCAGGGGATGAGAAAGAAAAGCCAAGTTACCTTTCGCATCTGAGCCAACAGCCCTTCAAACTCCTTCAGGTTCAGTGTGGTTCCACTATAGGATGCACAGCTGTTTGCGGCTTTCCCCAGCCAATAAATGGTCACTAACACCTACGGAAGAAAACAGTGCATAATGAGAGGATTTGTCTTGAAGAATGACATTTTGATTTGGGGATCAGTAACACTACAGGAATGGCAAGGAAGGAACAGCTCAGCAAAAACAACTTGGAAAACCAGTGCATGCTGCATCCATTAATTTGAGCCCGAGGTAATGGGAACACAATGTTGTCTCAGTTGACCCAGACACACAATGCAGTCAAGTAAGTCTCCAGCCCTAGGAAAAAGGAGGTTGTGAGAAAGTGATCTCTGAGTGAACAAGAAGGGGAAATAAATCCTCCAAAATGATATTCTCATCAGACAGCATTTTCCCACAAACTCTTTGGAGTCTTCACCCAGACAAGCAATGCAGGAGACTGTCATCTCCATTTGAGACTGGTGCTTTCAAAGCTCCTAATTTCAAGTTGTGTGCACAGAGAGCCTCCAGGAATGGATGGCAAAAATCCCAAAGGAGCAATAAAGGGCAGGGCAGGACCAACACAGTACATCTGCGTGAAGTAAGAAGACAGCAATGTCCAGAGAGTGAGACCTGTAAGTTCCTCACATCAGAGCATAACCACATCCCTATTAATCTGAGATGGGAAAATTTTAGCCCTGACACAGTTGCTATCAATTAAACAAACTTGGATGCTTAAGAATGTTCATAAATATCCAATGGTCTGAGGTTACTGTCCTACATTAGTTTTGTGCTGTCTCTCCAAAGAACTTTCTACAAAAGCACAAATGTTCTTTATTTTGAGTTGGGGATGGAAAAAAAAAGGGGTTGGCTAAAGATGTGCTCCTTAGCTAAATTATAGGGATCAGAAGTCCATGAAAAATCGTAGACTTTATGCTCACGTTCTGTCTTTTTGCTTCATCTATGCCAGGAATGACTTATTGAACTACCTTCCCTATGGCAGGCCAGAAAGTGCTCTGGATAATGGGACATAGGCATATGGGTCCAGCTGGCCATGGGCCTGAAGTATAGCTGTGTGCATGAGTACTATGATGGGGTTCAGTTTCCTACCTCTGTGGGAAACTCTTACATCGTGAATCCTTCAAAATTTCCAGAAGGTCTTTTATTAACTGAGTTCGTACAAATAAATTCCCAGAGAACAGACAATTCCGAATGTAAGGACATTAACTAGAACCATAACATAACTAATGTGTGCTGACTGCGATCCCATCTGGGCCACAAATGGAAATGGCTAATGTTAATGTTGAAACTGATCACTATTTTAAGAAAATGAACCACACACAGAATACAAGCTTTTATTGTTTACTTCTAGATTGAATTCTGATTAGAGCAAAATCTCCAAATCTACTATTTTTAGTTTTAGCACAATTATTAACTATTCTATAGGTGATGCATATACTTTTCCCTAAAAAAGAATCTTTCTAGTAAGGCCTATCAGATGCACTGCATTTAGCTAAATATCAACCTTGAACCATTAAAGTCAAAAGTATACAAATTTGCAAAGAGATGTTGAAACACTTACGTTTTTCAGCTTTCGGCTATAATCAAGGTTCCTAGGTCAGGAAAGAAAAACAAAACATTATTAGAATAGCAGTTTCTTCAACATGGTCTTTCCTTAGACACCTTTAAGACACACTTGCAAAAAACACATAAAAACAAAATCAAAAGAATATTGATGGCTTTTTAAGGCCTATGGCTGATAGTTATAGGATAAAATTGTTGAGGGGAAAAAAACAAAACAAACAAACACCATTAGAAGGACCTGATAGGACTGAAGTTTTGCAGGACACGGAGAAAGGTAAACATTTTTTAACATATGAAAAGCAAGAATTCAGTTTAAAACTTGGACTATTTATATTGGAATTTACAAATCATGACTGTTGAAGATTCTGTCTTAAAGGAAATTTGATCACATCTTCCAAGTGTTCTTCATGCAAGCAGATTTAGTACAGGTCTGAAAACTTAGTGAAATAGACCTGAAAATATATGTATAAAAAGCAGTACTATCCAAATGGTTCTCCAATCCCCTTGCTACAAATCAGAATGAAAAATTGGCCATACAAAAGAAAATATGCATGCTATTTTCAAATTTATGCACGTGTTCAAAAACACACATAATGTTTATTTCCTAACTAAAGCCCAGCAAAGCTCTGATTATTCACACCAGTGTATGTCAAAGTGTTTCCAAAGATATTGGAAAGCTCCACGAACATATCTACAAATAAGTATTTATTAGGAAAATGAATGCTGGGTTTCTTTTCTCTGGTCACTTTGGTGAGGTGTGGGGAGTAGAAATCCCCAAGAATGCTTCATAGAATTTAGACTATGATTACTTGCTTCTAGCCCATGTTAACAAACTATGGTGGGCAGGTTTAATCTGATTGATATTGGAAGGACTAGTGGACTAGTGGAGATCAGCAGAGTGTTTGGGGCCTCAGTTAAGACAAGAATCCATTCAGCTTACATTTGATCAAGGAAATGTTTCTATATCTTTTAGTTTACAGGGGAAAATGGCATGCTATCCTCAGCTTAAATATCTATGAAGATTTTTTTTTCATTTAACAACAGAAAGATGAAATAAATCCAAGGAAGTTCTACAATATCTTAGAAAAACAAGGATAGGGAATATGACCCTTTTCCTGCATTGACAATAAAAGTTCACTGACTGAAACTGTGACTGGGTGCTAAAAAATATTATATGTGGCACACAGTAGGACCTCACAAAATATTTGTAGAGTGATTTTCTCATAATCACCAATTACTTGGAAATACTTCTAATTTTTAGAGAGACTTCCTGCCCCAGGAGCCAGCCACAGCCTTTGCACACATCTGTGTGACTGTGTTGATTCCCCAGAAGGTCTGTGCTGTGTGCCTCTCTGTGTTGGGTGCCCCTTTGTGTTGGGTGCCCCTCTGTGCTGTGTGCCTCTCTGTGTTGGGTGCCCCTCTGTGTTGGGTGCCCCTCTGTGCTGTGTGTCCTTCTGTGTTGGGTGCCTCTCTGTGTTGGGTGCTCCTCTGTGTTGGATGCTCCTCTGTGTTGGGTGCCCCTCTGTGCTGTGTGTCCCTCTGTGTTGGGTGCCTCTCTGTGTTGGGTGCTCCTCTGTGTTGGGTGCTCCTCTGTGTTGGGTGCTCCTCTGTGTTGGATGCTCCTCTGTGTTGGGTGCTCCTCTGTGTTGGGTGCTCCTCTGTGTTGGATGCTCCACTGTTTTGGGTGCTCCTCTGTGTTGGGTACCCCTCTGAGTTGGGTGCCTCTCTGTGTTGGTTGCCCCTCTGAGCTGTGCTTTCATTTCCATCAAATCTGTCAGGCATTCATTACACATAGAGTTCATGCAATTACACAGTCAGTAATGTAATCATTTGAAGGGTTCTCCTCTTAAAAATTTTTTTTTTCTACTCAAGTTATGTTTGGACAGAAAAGGTAAGAAAAATTACCTATACTTAAAACTAGAGTTTTTTCAGGAATAAGACAAGGCTGTCCACTCTCTCCATATCTCTTCAAGTCCTAGCTAGAGCAATAAGACAACAAAAGGAGATCAAGGGGATACAAATTGGGAAGGAAGAAGTCAAACTGTCATTATTTGCATATGATATGATAGTTTACGTAAGTGACCTGGAAAAACTCTACCATGGAACTCCTACAGTTGATAAACACCTTCAGCAAATTAGCAGGATTAACAACAACAACAACAAAAACAGTAGCCCTACTATATACGGACGATAAAGGGGCTGAGAAAGAAATCAGAGAAATATCATCCTTTACAATAGCCATAAACAACATAAAGTATCTTGGGGTAACTCTAACCAAACAAGTGAAAGACCTATATAGCAAGAACTTTGTGTTTTTAAAGAAGTAAATTAAAGAAGATACCAGAAAATGGAAAGCTCTCCCATACTCTTGGATAGGTAGGATAAACATAGTAAAAATGGTAATCTACAGATTCAATGCAATCCCCATCAAAATCCCAGCACAATTCTTTACTGACCTTGAAAGAATAATACTTAATTTTATATGGAAAAACAAAAGACCCAAGATAGCTAAAACAACCCTGTACAATAAAGTAACTTCAGGAGGCATCACCATCACCAACTTCAAGCTCTACTATAGAGCTATAGTCCTGAAAACAGCTTGATATTGGCACAAAAATAGACAGGTAGACTAAGGGTATCGAATCAAAAATCCTAATATTAACCCACACACCTACAGACACCTAATTTTTGACAAAACAGCTAAAATTATACAATGGAAGGAGGAAAGCATCTTCAACAAATGACACTGGCACAACTGGATGATGGCATGTAGAAGACTGCAGATAGATCCATATCTATTACCATACACAAAACTCAAGTCCAAATGGATCAAAGACCTGAACATAAATCCAGCCACACTGAACTTCTTAGAAGAGAAAGTGGGAGGTACCCCCCACTTGGTACAGGAGACTGCTTCCTGAATATAACTCCAGTAGCACAGACACTGAGATTGACAATTAATAAATGGATCCTCCTGAAACTGAGAAGCTTCTGTAAGGCAAAGGACACAGTCGACAAGACCAAATGGCAGCACACAGACTGGGAAAAGATATCCACCAACCCCACATCTGACAGAGGGCTGATCTCCAAAATATACAAAGAACTCAAGAAACTAGTCACCAAAACACCAAAAAAAACCCTATTAAAAAGTGGGGTACAGAACTGAATAGAGAATTTTCAATAGAGGAATCTAAAATGTCTGAAAGACACTTAAGAAAGTGCTCAACATCCTTAGCTATCAGGCAAATGCAAATCAAAACAACTCTTCCCATGGCTGATGCTTGCTTCTCATCCTTGTTGTAGCCTGAGTCCTCAGCTGAAATGCCATCCCTTCAGGTGGCCCATCCTTGACCCCCTCCAGATGGACCACTGACTTTCCTGCCTCACTATCTTATGCTCTTCTCAGCACTCTCACTCCACATGGCTACTTTCTTTCTTTCTTTTTCTCTTTCTTTTCCCCTTCCTTTCTTTTGTTTTTTTCCTTTGGAGTTGAGGACCAAACCTGGGGCCTTGCTCTTGCTAGGCAAGCACTCCACCACTGAGCTAAATCCCCAACCCCAGTTATTTTCTTTCTTTCTTAACACATTGCTAAGTTATTGACACTGCAGTGTAAATTCAATATGAACAGAGGCCCTTAGTCATCTTGCTTGTCTCAGAGAGGGAAAGTATCACCACAGTAGCTACTCAGTAAACATTTGTTCAATGGATGAATGAAGGTTTAGAGACATAAGAGAAGGTGATGGAAATGCTGTATCTAAAGGTTACAGAGTACAAGTGAAGGACATTATAAAAAGGAAAGAAATGGAGAAGAAATGCAAAAGAGGCAGATGAGAAGAAAGAATAACGAAGGGAAGGGAGGTGGGAGGTAGAGGAAGGAGAAGACAAAAAAGGGACAAGATCAATAGACCAAGAAAATGAAGATGCTGCCATAACAAAGGGATCGTGACCACTTGTGACTGGCCTGAGTGGCTTTCTCAAGGCTGGTTGCTTCTAGTGCCTCTAAGTTAATATATCCCTTTAGAAGCTGATTGCCTTGTTCCCAAGGTCTGCAGTGACCAAGCTTTGCTTAGAGTCACATCTGGAAGACTATTTGATCCAGGCTTACTCTGTAGATGATAGCACAGTGCTAAGTAAAGGAGCTTAGCAAGCCATAGATATAGGGAGCACCAGACCTGGAGCTCGACCTGGATTTCCAATCCTCTGGTTGTTGTAGATGAGCACTGAAGAAGATCCAAGTTTCTGTTTTAGTTCCCAAAAGCAAGTGGCCTCAGGATTTTCCTGCTTTGGTAACTTATCATTTAAAGGTAGCTAAAAATTAAAACTTAAAAAACAAACAAACAAACAAAAACACCAGAGTAAACTTGCCTTCACCCTCCGAGCAACATGTGTGTGACTATTATTACCTATGGTGTTGTACAGTTGCTATTGTTTCTGGGCACTTGCCTTGCAGGTGAAACTAAAATATGAGATGAGTCAGAACTTGAAGTGATTTCCCAAAGTGAAGAACTTAGCAGAGGCCGGATTTAGGCTCAGTGATAAATGGAGCATGTGATGATTACAGTGAGGCCTATGGAGGCTTCAACTATGAAAGACTGCAACTTTTGTTTACTTTTTTTGCTTAACATCCACTTTCCATGAGAAATACTAAAGAATGGCACATTAAAAACACAGAAGTAGCTTTATATCATCAATCATGGCTGACTCTCCTTGTTTCTAGCTATGAATCATAAAATACACTAGAAACTTCCCAACTTCAATTTATTCATTCAAGTCTCCCATCATCCTAATTATGAAATCAAGGTCAAGGGATAGAACAACAACAAAAAAAAAGTCTAAATTGTGACTTCTTTCCCTTTGGGGTTCTTCCATGATACAATAGCACTGCCCCAAATTATCATGTCACAGATGCCCTCTACTCAATGCAGCTTACTGGGTTTTGATGTTATTGCTGTTGTCTGTAACAGGGTTGTCCTTATGTAGCCCTAGTTTGTTGAGTGTATGCATTATGCAAGCCAGGCTGGCCTTAGTTTTGTAGAGATCCTCATGTCTCTGCTTCCTAAGAGCTGGAATTACAGGATATGACACCTACCTTATTTTTAAATATTTTTTTAAAAAAAGATTTATTTTTAAATAATTTGTATATGTGTATATCAGTGTATGGGCATGTGCACATGAGTGTAGGTGCCCATGGAGGCTAGAAGAGGGATCCAGATGCTCTGGAAATGGAGTTACAGAAGGTTGTAAGTTGCACCCTAATATGGGTGCTGGGAACTGAACTGGGTCTTCTGCAAGAGTGTTACCCCTCTTAACCACTGTGTCATCTCTCCAGACTCAGGAGAGAACACAACTTATTGCTCAACTATACTCATGTAATACACTGTCTGAATAAAATGACAAATGCTTTATATGACATCATGGGCTCTGCAGAATCCTTGAACTACAGACAACTCATTTTTTGCCATCTCATAAAGATGGATTTCTTATTCTGATCATGAGCTATCTCTTTATACAGAAACTCATTTTATTGCAAGAATTCTTTGGCCCCATATATGGTTCACCAAATAGTTACAGGTAGAAATGGCCAAAAGGCCAATGACCCATCTCTGAAAAAGCTTAATTACTGTCACATATGAGAAAATGGCTACAAATATAAATGAAGGAGCCAGATCACCACCATCAGATACCTTTTTCTCCATCATTAATAGCCCTCAATCTGTTTGAGTACAGCCTGCCAAGAACCTATTCAACTGTCCCACTGGAACCAATAAAAGGCTTGCTGGATAAGGCACACAGATTTTGTGCATATTAGCCTTGCTGCTAAACTCTACTTAACATTTTCTCTTCTTCAAAATTCTGGTTCTATAAGCATTTGAAAAATTTATATTAGTTCAGAATCAGAGCTTCACACAAAGAACAGGAAACAGTCCTGTTGTGAAAGCTTGATTGTCACTTGTGCATTTTTTAAAATTAGGTATATGTAATCTTCTACCTCTTAGAACTTGCATCATCCTGACACAAATCCAAACATCAAGGGTTTCCTTTAAACATCAACCAGGCATTACTCACTTGACAGTGACCCTGCTGGATGTATCCTGGAGGTCACTAGGGTCAAAAAGTTGTGATTCTTTAAGGCCAAGCTCTTTACAGCCTCTCAAGAATAAGATGGTGTTGTCCTGGAAGAAGAAAAGAAGCCCAAGTGTTACATTAGGTTATCTTTGTGACAGAACCACTTCATTAGTAGTCCAAATTGCTGTCAAGATGCAAGCCATAGTGGCTGCTAAAGTCACATCTAAATCATGGTGTGTCGCACAACAAAATTGCAGTTAGGACACACTGGAATAAACAGACACTTCAGATGTCCAAAAACCTAGCCATACCAAATTCAATTTTCCCTTTAGCTTGATACATCTATAAACAACTGCAAGTCAAATGCTGCTATAAAGGGAATTTAGCATCTTTATAAGGAACAGTACTTTCAACAGTCAGGTATTTTCCATTGCTTCTAAATTTCCCCATGCTTTATTGCTTAGAACTTGTTATCAATAGATATTTTAAAAATATAATTAGAAAAAAACAAAATTAGAGCATGGGGAATGGTTTAGTTGTTGGGTGTTTGCTGAGCAATCATGAGGACCTGAGTTCAGATCCCTAGAACCCAAGGAAAAAACCAGGCATGATATAATATGCCTGAAATTCAAGCAATAGGAAGGTGGAGGTAGAAGAATTCCTGGGGCTTACTGGTAAGCTCCAGAAGAGGTCTTGTCTCAAAAAAGCAAGGTGGACAGCTGTGTTGGTTTGAATGAAAATGGTTCATTGTATTTGCAAGGTTAATCCCCAGTAATGGAACTGGTTGGGAAGGGATGGGAGGTATGTTCTTGTTGGAGAAAGTGTGTCTCTGCAGGTGGACTGTGAGGCTTCAAAAGACTCCCACCATTCCCAGCATGCTTTCTCTGCATCCTAATTATGGGTTTTGCACTGCCATCATGGACTCTAACCTTTGGAAATCTTAAACCAGATTTAACACTTTCCTTGATAAGTTTTGTTGGTCATGGCATTTTATAACAACAGTAGAAAAGTAGATAATGAATAGCATTAGAGGAAGATGCATAACATTGATCTCTGGTCTCCAAACACATGTGTCCACATGTTCATGTGCATTGCACAAATACATGTACATGCAAACATGGCACATACACAAAATAAGACTTTGTAAAAATAGTATTGTTGCCTAAGGTGTTCTCATCTTCATTTTTTTCTAATTAACTGGTTTAAATATATCCTTTGCAACTTTTTACACCCTTCATACATTCATTATGGGCTTTGACTAAAAATACCTTTTTAATGGAATGCAAGATGAATTAAAAGATAAAAGAAATCTAGTCTCTTCTTTCATGTCATATTTACTCCCTTTCTCTCTCTTGAGTATTTGGGGGAGGAAAGGAAGAGCAGCTAGAGGTGGTGTGGGAGAAGAGCAGAGGTATCCAAGGCACAAGACACAATGCTACACATAAAGATGCCATGATGAAATCCACTACATTGTTTGCTAAAAATTAATTTAAAAAAAATCTAGATGTGGTTGGGAAGGAAACTGAGAGCAAGGAAGACTTCTGAAAACAATGCAAACACCCTTCTCCTCATGGTGAACATTCCCTGGCAGGCACAGGTTTACTGTGAACAGCAGAGGAGCAAGACTGGCTGACAATTACACTCTCAGTTAAGGAGGGTTCCGTCTGGGCGGCCCATCTATGGGAAGTCCTAGGAATAAATGAATGGTTCTGAAAGTGAATGTGAATTGTGGGTCATCCTTTGAAGACCCCAGGACAACTGGCCAACAGATTTATTGCCATGACTCTCTATTTGTCCTCTTCTTGAAAGAGTTCCAAAGGCATGGATTGACTCCATCAATTTGCAAAAACTACAGGTCAAGGAGTAAGGGCTCCAGGAGCCATATCAATGAGAAACCCTCTGAATGCTGATAGAAACTGCCATAAACAACTGAACTCAGGGTGGTGATTACCCAGTTCACCCCAGGTAGTTCAAAGGGATCAGCAAAGACAGCATTTTTAATTACCCAGTGTGTAGGCAGGACTCTCAGGCCCCCAAGAATCCTGCCTCCAGATGTTCACACCCTAGGTAATCTCCCCTTGAGAACAAGTGAAAGCCACAACTGTGATAACATTGTGGCACTGAACAATTGCCTGTAGGTTAACAAAGAGAAAGATTATCTGATTGGTATTGTTGTCACTTGGAAGCTTTTATAGAAGGTAATAGAAGAGGTCCCTGAATGCCACAGCTGCAAAGGGTTGAATTCAGTTAACTATCATGAACATGGGATGGGCTTGGGAGATGCTCCAGGTCTCGGCGTTGTAGACATCTTGAGTTCAGCCCTATGATATTCTGAGAAAACAGCCCTGGCTCACCCTATCCAGACATCTAATCTATAGACAATGTGAGGTAATATGTGAGTATCACTCTGAAATGCTAGTTTATGGTAGTTTTTAATGTGGCAATAAAAAATTAACATGCTGGGGCTCTAAAGAACAATAGTAGAAAGTTGTTGACCTTTCTATGGCCAATATTCTGTGACCAATACCCTTCCAAGGGCTGCATTTATTATTATATTATCTCTGTTAATCCCTGTACACCTTATCCTCAACTCACAGATGAGAGAGTGATCTGTAGTCTAGAACAATTATGCAATGATCCAAGGTTATACAATCAGCAAAAGGTGCAGTTTGCAAATCAGTATGATATGTCTGATGAATCCAAGCATGGAACTCAAGGTGAGTACCAAAGAACAGTGGGGCTGTGGAGGATTGGATTGATCTCAGAGGTTCTTACAGATGCAGAAAGCAGAAGGCAGGAGGCAGGGACAGCTGAGACACAGAACAGTTACATGTCATACTGAATCAAACAGCTAAGCCTGCATCCCAGCTAACTCATCGCTAAAATGGGATGTAGATTCTCCAGAGGTAAAAACGCTAAGCCCCCAAAGTTGCAATTCTTGTTTCCACCTCTCCAGTTTCTAGTTGTTTATGCTTATTCATCTATCCCAAAATTCTCTCCCTTCTCCTTCTCCCCATCTTTCCCTCTTTCCCTCCATACCTCCTTCCCCTTCTCAGTTTTTCTTTCCTGTTAGCCTTCCACCAGAACACAAATGTGTCTTCTCATCCCTTCTTCCCTCTCTCCTCCCCTCTCTCCCTCCTTCCCTTCCTTTCTCCCTTCCTCCTTCCCTCCCTCCTCTGTTCCCTCTCTCTGTCTCTGTCTCTCTCCCATTCTTTTGCCTCTGAAACTCTTCAAAGGCATCACTGGCTCTGAGGCTGGCATATTCAAAATATGAACTTTGCTTTGCAGGTCTATATTTCAGAGATGTAAACACATCCTTTAACGAAGACAAAACTCCAAACAAGGCAGTGACCAGTTCAGATGCCAGGTGGGCTTCAGTGGGTATTTGAGTGTCTTTGGATTGAAGTGAGTGTCTCTCAGGAAAGTGAGGAAGTGAGTGGGTGCTCTCTAGGAATCACCAGTGACCACAATAAAGAACAAGCCTCTGATCTCCACGCAGTCCCCTAGGACTACAGCATCCTGGATCATAAGTACAAACAAGGAGGTGTTCTTCCTATGCACAGTCCCAGATGCACACGTGCACTCTGGAACACAGCACACCATTCAGCACACGGTCTACAAACATACAAGCTCTGTATGGCAGCCAGCAGGGACAATTTGGGCTGGAAGATTTAAATAACTGCATGTCTGTTTCCAACTCCTTGCTGTAACCTAATGATGCTGGAGAAGAGCCAAGCCCTAGTCAGAAGCAAAGCCAGAAGCAAGAGCCACCGGGCCAAGAGCTAACAGAGGCCAGCCACTGGAACAGGCAAGAACAATCGTGTTCTTAATTACAAAGGACATATCCCATACTCTCTCATCTGCCTTCTCTATGCACTGAGATGTCCCCACATTTACAATTTCAAGCAAAGCCCTCATCTTAGTAGCTCAGATTCAGAGACAAACCATTTGATAATGTCTTAATCCCACGGAAGAAGTCAGATTCACTGATTTACTACAATGACTATTACATGTATTTTTCACTTACACATAGCTAATGATTCCATTTAGTAATCTTTTGGGGAGCTTTCTGGGGACTTGAAAAATAATCATTGTTACAAAAAAAAAACCCACCCTGGTAATTAAAGATATATGCTGACCAAATGTATGAGCCTTAACTGGACTCTAGCAGGAAAGGTAAATAAAGGCTATGCCGTTGAATATGAGCAGACTATTGAATAAATTATGGATTGGGCATTAACTTTCTAAGGTGTGGTGATGGTAATGTAGTGAAGTGAGTGGAAGACTTATTTTAAAGTACACATCTGGATTATTTAGGGGTGTGTTATATCTGTAACACGACTTTTGAATGGTTCAATTAAAATTGTGTGTGCATGTCTGTGTACATACATTTATCTTCACATGTGTGAAGAAGAAGACCACACAAAGCAAAAGACAGGGATGAAGATGAGGGAGGGATGGAGAGACTGCACAGATGTTTTCCTGTGTTTAGGGAGAGGAACATGCAAATTGCAAAATATTAAGAATTGGTAAGTACAGAGACTGAACCAACAACTGGGAAGCCCACATGGGACTAAGCTTGGGCCCCTGCATGTACATGATTCAGTTGTGTAGCTTGGTCTTCTTGTGGGACTACTAACAGTGTGAGTGGGGGCTGTCTTTAACTCTGTTGCCTGCTTTTGCAATCCTTTTTACTTACTGGGTTGCCTCATCCAGACTTAATAGGAGAGAAAGTGCCTGGTGTTCTGCAACTTGATACTTTATGACTGGTTGGTATACATGGGTAGCCTGATCTTTTCTGAAGAGAAACTAAGGAGGAGGAATGGATAAGGGAGAAGAAGGGATGTGGGAGGGCACTGGGAGGAGAGGATGGAGTGGAAACTGCAGTGGAGGTTGAGGGGGAGTATTGAAAGAGCCTATTAGAAGAGGGAGAGCATTTTGTGGTCAGGTAGAAACCTGGTGCAAGGGAAACTCCCAGAAATGTACAAGGATGATACCAGTTAAGATTCCTAGCAATTGCAAATATATAGCCTGAGCTGGTCATACCCTGTAATCAGGCAAGATTTCCAGCAGAGGGTTTGGGACATCAACCTAGCCACATAACCTT